ATCCAACCAGTTCTGAAGGCCTTTGTTAAGTGGGTGCGGATTCAGACGAGTACAGGGGTGCCGAAGTGTATATGGGGGTCAAGATATACTGGATTTCAGGACGAGGTCACGCGACAGAGACGTTTTTGTACCGGCACTGTAAGTTGTAACACTGTTCCTGTACAAGGCTCCATTCAGCAATATTTGTATGTTCGTTTGCTCAATATATCTTTGTTGCTATGAATCGCGATTGTATTGGCAGATGGTTTTTCACGGATGCGGGGAGAATGGCCGTCTGTTAGGGCCGCTGTGTACTCCGATGAGTTATCTGTAGCAGACCTATCAAGGGCTTTTTGATACATCCTTTTTATGAGAGAAGACAGACAAGACAGGGGTTCAGTTGATAGTAGGTGAAATACCTGAGATAACATCTAAACAAGATGCGTTGTCGTCCTATTTTGGCTTGACTACTAGACTGAAACGCAGATTGGTATATTTATACTATATACATCACGATTGTTCCCGGGAGGAATTTCGATATTCCTACCATCCATTTAATATGCACATAGCAGAGGAGACGGTAGGGGTCGAACCCACGACCCGTTTTTTTTTTACCATTCTTTGCAACCATTACACCGATAAGCCTTTCAGGTACCTACTTTGTCTCTTAATATGAAATCTATTTGAAGGATCTTAATATTTAGGTTTAGTCTGTTAAAATATTGTTATACAAGTTTAACTATGAAATAATAGTACATTTCATTTGCCAGCTATAAATATGAGCATTTTTGACGGGCGTTAACCTCACAAATTACATCCGCTTATCCGTTACGGGTCAATTTTAGCAAGAAGCTAAAATAAATTTCCTTTAGCTAAACAATATCAAATGAATCAAATAGTACAATGACAATTATCTTGCATCAAAGATTTAATATCAATAATAATTGTTTGAGCTGGAACTTACGAACATTATCCGGTCAAATTTTTCAACTATAATATTACTTTTTTAATTAACGCAAAATATGTTCAAATAAAACACATTTGACGGTTTAAAACGCGAAATTTATTACAATTTGTTTTAAATACGGCCCAACGACTCGGCTGCTGCAAATAGTTAAAATAAATTGTGAACAAGTTACAAAACATTTCACGTTTTAAACCGTTAAGCTTTCTCTTATTGAGTGCTCTTGTGTAAGCTACGGACAGTAGAATTGCTCACGTAATAGAAACCTTTAAAGATGAATCATTTTCCCCCTCCTCCCATTAGTTGTAGCGTGATGCTCCTTGATAAAAACCAGTAGTTCCCGAGATAAGCGCTTTCAAACGAACACACAAACAAACTTTTCAGTTTTATATATTAGTATAGATATTTGTGGTTGCGGCTTGAGACATTTATAATTAGTAAAAAAAAAATCACTAGCTATCACGTTTCTTGTGATAGAACAACAGACAAACAGCGAAATCGTGGCAATGGGGACAGGTTTTTGAGTACAGGACCCCTGAAACCGTATCTAAATGGGTAATATCTGCCCGTTGTTCCACAATGAAATTGCCTATGAATCACCAATGTATGTATGACAGACCCAAATTACAAATAAACGCTATCAATTCTAATAATTTCCTAGCTTCGTTGATCGTTGAAATGACGAGGTCATTTTATATCAACACAATATGTACACGGCAACTTATTTACTAACCTAAAGTTACAAATAGGTACAAGTAGGCACAGACTTATATAATTACAATTAATACAAACGAGGAATGGTAACGCTATTTTTTTTTATAAAGTTATCCGATTCTAATTTTAATTATAAACTTTTTTTTAAGGAAAGAAAGAGAAGGGAGTAGATTCATCCATGAAAATTATTGGCGAAGTTTCATTGTATTATTTAAACTTTAAAAGAAATAGGCCCTAGAAAAGAGAAGGAAGATATTTTAGGCCCTAGTTGACATAAATTGTTCATAAGTTAACAAATTAAACACTGTCTAGTTTACCTAAATTTATAATTAGTGGTTTAAAACGCGATATATATTAGTTAAACTTATTTAAACAATATTTTAACTACGGCCCTACGTTTTGGATGCGTTACAGCAGCCATGGTAGCAGAGAGACGATAATTTCCAAATAAGTTTAACATTAGTTAAAACGATAAACGACGATATAAGGAGTGTTTTGTTTAAGGTTTAAAAATTTACTTATTTCTCAAATAATTACATAAAATCTCTTACTGAGAAACTAGAGTAATTAAAGTTAACTAATCCAATCAAAGAATTAAGTATTAAAAAATTACTTAGCTTGTTTTCGTATATAGTGCAGATAGGGAATCATATATTTCGCATTTTAAACCGTCAAAAAGTGTTTTAATTAAATGTGCCCTTTGCCAAGAATCGTGAGACGTAGTAGGTAGCGCTTCAAGGCTCCAACATTTATTATCACTGTCTTACTAAGAAATTTCACTATTCCAGGCACATACCGACAAAAAGCCGAGTTCCCAAGAAACTTGTTATAACAGATATCAAAGATCATCACGGATGAATCATGACGGCTTGAGCAATAAAACGTTTGGCTTGAAAAACCTTCTGAGAACCGCGTCTTATAGGAATTATCATTTTAAAGATATATCACTTCACATTAGAAATAATTGTGTTACTGACCGTACTATGTATGTAAAAAACTGTAAGAAATGTACCATCAATTATTATTAAATAATTTTACAGGGCTTAAATTATATAAATAAAATAAAAACAGTTGAACATATCAGCCGAAATTTATTACACGAACAAAACCGACGGATAGTATAGAGAGAAACGTGTATTTTAGCCATGCAGCTAGGGACATTTCTACTTCCTTAATGGCTCTTAATTTGCTCATCTGACTTCTGCACCCAGCAGGACCGATTCTTATAACCTCATAAGGGATTAGAAACCAGGACATCCACCAAGAAATGCGACTAGAGGTGATCTTTTCGCAAATTCATTGGATGCGGATGCAATACACATTCTAATAGAGCAGTTTAAACGGTTTAAAACGCGAAAATACAAATAAAGTTTGTACCTAAACTACAGCCCGACATGTTTGTTTTGTCGTCGGACGAAGGGACCATCACTCTGACCTGTTCTACTGACGCATTTGGAAAGGTAAGGAAAACCAGAGGATAACCAGATACTATCATGTTTTCGCAGTCTTAAAGATGGAAATACCATGGTTCAAATAATAATTTGTTCGTTCGTACCACGTCAGATATTCACAGATAGATGAAATGCAATCGTTATAAGGGAGGAATATTAAACAAAAACCATATATTATGCAGCACTCAGCCAGCATAATGGAGAGGTTTAATTTTTAAGCACCACCTACACTTTCCCAGAAGGCCAGAACCGCCATATGGTATAATGAATACTAAGCAACTTATGAATTCACTTCAAATGTAATGAAACTGAATTTAACTATCTACTAATACTAACAAAACTGCGCAAGAGCGGGCGCCATTTTTACAAAATGGGTTCCGAAATAGGTTAAAAAAATTAACGCTACAATTCGATCAAAGTAGTTATTTCATTTGTTATAATAACGGCAACAGATATACAGATTTTCACAGATTATAATTAATGTTATAGAGATACACAATCTGTGCAAATGTCACAACTGTCACGATTCGTGAGATACAGGCCAGTGACGTCACAGCGTACCTACTCTGCATAGGGCTTCGAAAATTTTAATAACAATATAAAATTGTTATCTATGTATTGTGTAACATATAAATTATAATATGTACAACAAACTTTCGATCGTATAAATCCGAACCGGTCTTTAGAACAGACCTCATAAATATTTGCATAGCACTGAATTATTTGTATTGCATTATCGTTGCAAATCCATTTATAAAGTTGCCCCGACTGAACACCAATATTGGATTTCTTTATCGTTCTTTTATTCACGAATCTGGCATTTCTCGTTTCGTAACCAGTTCCTCTAATGATGCCAGCAACTTGCTTTCAATATCCGAGGTGGGGTTTGGGTACATGTTGGTATTCTGGTTCAATATTGCCTTTAACGTTCTATTATTCTGTGACCTATTTCATGTGGAATTCCGCCAGTTATAAAGTCGATCTGCCTTCGAGCTCTATATATAAATGTAACGTGTCTAGTTCACGCGATTAGTATACTTTTAAAGGTTTTAAACGCAAAATATACCGAAGTAACTAGTTTTATTTAAACAAGTTATATCTAGTAATTCAAGGAAGCATTGTAGCTCTGTTTCGATGAACAATCTCCATTAAACTCAATAAAAAATACTGGCAACGTCGCTATACCTCTTCAGTCTTCCTTCATTAAGTGGGCGGACCCTCACTCCACTCAGATCAAAGGTACGATAGTGAGATTGTGGGAATCTTATAGATATAACGCACTTATCAAGTAGATTACCAATTTAGGCCGAAATGCGTTCGTGTCGAAATCACAATGGGCTAACCTTTTTTAGGTCGTGTACGCTATAAATTTCATCACACTTCTTCAGTTAGGTCCAAATGCGGCTCCGTGACCGCTGCCCGACCTCACAAGACCACGACCACTCGATGCGAGATAAGCGTAAATGAATACGGAACGTCCCACGCCCAAAATCATAACACGAACTCAACCGACCCGTCCACATAAAACAGGCAATTAATATGGTTTATTCGCATCCGTCTACCATTAAATGGTTTTACTCTCGTCAGCCTACGTGGACCGCAAAGCCGGTTGTATATCCCATAACGGGACATCCAGTTACGGCGAGCCGAAATTCAAGAACGTTAGTCGTTTCGAAAGCAGTTTCGGTCGGGGCGCCCGAATTCAGCGACGCAATGAGATGCACAGATTATATTCACCGTTGACGTACAGGATGTCTTATTCGTGAGGACCTAATCTCCACGCATGAATAATTTCCGAGCTATCGATCGCACACATCGAGCTTTTTATTTATACGGCGCGGGTGGGCGAGGCGCGTATTAGTAAACAGGCGCAAGCGCGGTCCGACACTCACCGACTTGCAGGACGTTCTCCACGCAACCGGCTTCGAGCAGCTTGAGGCCGCGGCAGAAGGCGATGTTCCGGTGGTCGTCGGGCGGAGCACGCGCCAACGAAGAGTACATGCAAATGTCCCGCTCGTCCCTGGGGAAGGACCAGTACACGACGCGGCGCTGCACCGGCTCCGGGATGCGCTCGTAACGCTCCTCGATGCGTTGAAAGGGTATCGCGGCGGCTACGATTTTAGCTGTTATGTCGAGGAGGGTCGCTGGGGCGCGCGGCCGGCAACACACCCGCGGCGGGCAGGTAGACATGGCGCTCGCTCGGCCGCCGAGCGCGGACTGACGTCCTCCGTTCCCCGCGGCCGAAAACCCCCGCCGCACCTCGCCCCCTGAGGATGTACGCCCCGGATCGACAATGCAATAAATTATTCATTTGACAGCCATAATGTGTCATATATTATTAAAAAGTTCGTGTTTTCTGCTGTTATATTGCGTATCGGTTTTCATCGTACGATAAGAAGTAGACATAATCTCTCAACGCATCACTTAAGATCGCATATACTCATGCTTAAAGGTCACATGACTTAAGAACATTTTCGTGCTTCATCGCATGAGTGAAAAGAAATTAAAAGATGCCTTATTTTAGAACAACTTCTTGTAAAAACTATATTTTTAAACAATATAATAATTTTGTTCATTAAAAATGATAACATTTAATCTAACAACAATTGTATTTTAAGTGTGCTAGGCCACCATTATTTGTTTTAAGATAATTTATTTCTGATTTCAGATTATGCTTCGATCTTTGATACATATTGTTTACCCAAACCTTTGCTTAGTTTTTGTTACATTATAACACACTGAAGAGGTAAGATAGAAAAATGTATTAAACTAAAAGGTAGATAAAAATGTTCACATTATCTTCGTAGGATAAATTGATAGCTTATCCACTTTACCCGTAGCTCCTCGCATTACACGAACGAAGGGGAAAGGAGGGGGCGACATTAACAGCTGATGGCTGCGGGTGGGAGGGGGCGACGACGTCAGGTGGCCGACTTGCAGCTCAGCTGAGATTTGTGTTACAGCGCTACATCCGCTAACTTGTCAATCACGTACAATGACCTTTATTTGTTTTTATTTTTTCACTTCCTATCAGTCTATTTATAGACATCAATTGTTTCGAATAGAAAAACAATAGTTCTAAGTGTAAATCTCTCTTCTGAATTCTATTAATTTCTTCTATAAAGTAGTAAGTTACATCCAAATATATAAGTTTTTATGTCAGCAAAATACATCATATTAAATGCGTAAAACGTAATCTCTATTATATGTACCTTACGTTAAATTAGCAAAGTGCTATTAATATCCTCCCACACCTAACTAAAATGACCTTCATTGTATTCATAATTACTGTCGTTACAGCGCTGCAGCTGCTAAGTTGACGTTGACGAACAATGACCTCTATTTGTTTATAAGTTTTTCGGGTATTTGAATAGGTGTGCAAGGTATGCAGGTATGTCTGTGCTGAGCAGGTAACAGCCTACTACTGTGTAGTGTACTGTGAGGGCATGACAATGTTTTCTTTGAAACTTTTAAAAAGCAGTATTGTAATATTTTGAGTATTACAAGAGAGTTATAAGAAATCTTTTGTAATTCAATATTGTAATTAAGCCACAAGTCTAAAACAATACTACCCTAAGTAACGCATGTATGTATAGTTTAATTGTACTGTGTATAAGGTCCTCAAAATATATTAAACCTAAAATTAAACAAATAAAACTGTTCTTATTAAAAGTATTCGATGTATCAGTCACTGCTAAATTTACGGCATAGTTACCACGAGGAAAATTATTTTTCGTTATTTTTTGCTTGTGCATAGATAAAAGATAGGAATAGAGACTAAAAGTTATTAAAGAAATAGTTACATTGCATACATTTTATAAAATAAGAAGTTGTAAGCATTTCTGTATAAATAAACCAAAATAGGTCGATGGACTTCACGTGAGACACAGTTACACCAATAAAGTATTCTTATTTAATCATTAATATTATATATTATTTATATAAATTTAATTTAATACTCTATCTCTACTGGTGCTATTCTAGACCTATCAAAATAGAGATAATGAAAACGAAATGATATTAATGTATACAGCGCTTCAAGCGCTGGTTTGTATAAATTTATGTCTCGAGTGAAGACTAAGCGATATAGCTAACTCTATTACATAACGCTGAACGTAGCTTTCTATAATAATACGAATTATGTCAGCTGATCAACATTACAGAGAAAAACATTAAACAAGGTCAAGGATAGGGGAAATGTAATAAATTTTTAACTAGATCCGGCAAACGATATATTGTTTGCAAGATTAGAATGGTGATACAACTCTAACAAAAAATTGGTATCAATGCAATTTCGAAAAAAAATTAATACCACAACTGCCGCGGGGATTCTCTTAGGTCACTAGCAGTGTTAGCGACTTCGTTCGCGTACAAAATTTAATTTGAAAAATTCGTTTTTGCAAACCTACTTCCCATCTTTAAAAATTATAGCTCACCAACGACATCGTCCGCGTCCCGTCGTTATTGTAAGTTAATCTCAAAAGATAGACATACCGTCTCACCGGCATTTTTTTAAATCATTAAGAGAAGGAACATTCTTTGATTCATGTTTTGAGTATCTTGAACCGTTTTCGCAGCGCACCCCTTAATGATAAAAAAATCCCGTTTGGTTCACATTTCCCGCTGTTTCTTCGCTCCTATTAGTTACATCGCAGTGTTTTATAGTTTATAGCCTTCCTCAATAAATGATCTACACGAGACAACAAAAAATCAATTAGAACCCGTAGTTCTGAGATAAGCGTGTCCAGACAAACAAACGAACTCTTCAGAATTAAGTTAATATCAGTCAATCTTTCTCCTCTTAATAGTTCCGGAGGCCAAACTTCATAAGGTTCTGTTTTAAAACTGTTTCGTTTATGGGCCATCGCCTGTATGTCGTCGGCTCATACATGACTTTAGGATACTCTTGCTGAAGTTTTATTAAATATATTTTGGGTAATTGAAAATTGGAAGAATTTGGGCGAAACTCCAAGTTCTAGCGATTGTTTATTTAAATGAAGCTTACCGTTGCCAACTGTGTTGGAACTTAATAATTAAGTAACAAGGACAGATATAAAGCTAGTTTTTGAGACACTGTAAGATTAAACCCTTTTGACGGTTCAAATCCCCGAAATATATTAATTGACTTGTTTTTAATTTAACTCCGGCCCGTCGTTATGCATGTTTTGCAGTAGCCATGGTCACAGGAGGGACATAAGCTATGGAATTTATTTCGCGTCGATGTTTTACTTAAATTACACGTAATATCTACTGCAAATTGTTTAGTCATTTCAGATTTATACTTACGTAAGTAAACACGCACGAGCACAATATCAAGTATCAATATAAGTCGATTAAAATCGTCGAAGCAACGATAGTTACGATTGTAATAGAACCAGTTTAAACGAATTCAAACGTTAATTGTTTCTACGTTATTTAAATTATTCGACACGAAATTGTATATCTTCTACATACAAATGGAACTAGATAATTGGTAAAATAGATGGTAACTTTTGAATGATAGAGAAATACAGATAAGCCGAACCATATAACATCTAAGCAAAATGCCCTGTCGACGGTACTTTGGTATTGGATATTCGGAAATCCACAGGCTGAAACCGACACACGATTAAACTTCTCGGCTTTTTCATCTGTGGTTGTGACCCGGACGGAATTTTGATATTCCTACCAGCCAGGTAATATCCAGATTTCCAATATGTTTGAGAAAAATTATTAGTAAAATGTTGGACCCGGTAGGGATCGAACATTGCTACCATTACACCAATGAGCCCGTCCAATTTTATTCTTTACATCATTTTAGATCTAAAGGTGCGCGATGTTTTAGAATATGACGGGCGCTGCAGAATGATTCATTCATTTTCAGGGGGGGTTACCCCTTTCAGGGTCTTTCAAATTCTATATGTATTGAAGGGGTCTAGACGTTGTGTTGTTAGTTAAATTTTAGTACCAACTCCTCTTTTTCCTACTTAAAGGCTAAAAAATACTTATATCTCTTGAAGTGAAAGAGGTAAACGCGACGTTGAATGAAACTAACTTGGTAGAACTTATCATTGCGGATGAATTAAAGAACAATCGAAATGTATGAATAAACCCGTTTTTACGGTATAAAATGCGAACAATCTCCCCCTCCACGTCTCCCCGTGACCACGGCTTCTGCAAAGCATCCAAAACGTCGGGCCGAAGCTAAAAATCATTTTCAAATAAGTTTAACTAATATATCGCGTTTAAACCATTAAAGTGTTTTATTTAAATAATATATTTAGTGTAAAGTAAAGTGTTTTATTTAAATCTGTACTAGTAAACTACAGACACTACTTAAACGAGAAGTAACAAATAAAAGTGTAGAATATTGTCGATATTGTACACTAACAATCACTAATCACACACAGCAGTGCATAGATTGAAAAATTGCATGGTCACGGACTGGACAGTACAGGTCAATTAAAAGATCACAGCAAACTATAGTAAGGTTTTTAGACGTAGATTGCTCGCCTCTCTCTTTGCTTTAATCTATACAAATATTATAAAGCTGAAGAGTTTGTTTGTTTGAACGCGCTAATCTCAAAAACTACTAGTTCGAAATGAAAAATTGTTTTTGTGTTGGCTACAGCGTTTATCGACAATAACCTAAGGTATTTACTATCACACAGCGACCAATAGGAGCAAAGAAGCAGTCGGAAATGTGTGAAAATCGGGTAAAAATGAGAATACCCAAAAATAAGTTTAACAGTATGATTCCTCATTAAACGACGAGGAGGTTTGCAAAAACAAATTTTGGCGCCCAAAATAACTATTATATCGCGGACGAAGTCGTGGCCACAGCTAATACTTGATAGTTTTAAAACACATTCAAGCTCTCATGAGCTAATAATGACGGTTAATTATTAGTAAGTTACTTTATGTAATATCTTTAGGTCAATATAATTGCCTATAGATGACGCTAACTTTAGCCGAGTCGAATGTACATAGCGACATCTATCAACATAATGGAATAATACAATTTAATGATGCCACAATTCTAAACTAACCACGGAATGTTCTCAATTTGGCTTTGAGTGCTTTGAATAGAGGTTCTTTGATATCTACGTTAAAAGTCTTGATTGCCAATTATATATCGTTCGTATAGAATGCTAAATGTGTGTTATTTTTGGTTAATCGATTCGGAAAACGAGCTGGCATACAAGACAGCTTAATTAAAAATCTAATTCCTTTTCTAGTTAAAAGATTACCCCTACAGATATGAGTATCATGAATGTATGATGTCTATAATAAATCTATATAGTGCATGAAAGATACAATGACATGAATAATTATGCGCTCAAAACATCAATACAAATAACATTTTATCAAATTTTAAAAAGGTATGTATGATAATCTGACGCAAGAGAATGGTTACTAGACTCTAGACTACTAGATATTGATATTGATAGACTCTACTAGATATTGATTTCAATAATCTCTTTCTTTGAAACATAATGTACGGTAGATTAATTATTACTAATCTACTAGGAGTGTCCACGATTACTAGCTAACGCTTAGTAGTCGTGGGTAGTCCACGATTACTAAGCGTTTCTTAGTGGACTACCCACGTCTACTAAGAAACGCTTAGTAGTAAGTTCATCCGTCGTCGCATCGCACGCAACGGAAAATGGAAAACTATGTTCCCGTTTCTTCGCTACCTATTGGTAGGCTGATATTTTATAACCTAAAACGTTCCACGATAAACGCTCTAACCAACACAAAAATAATTGTTCAATTCGGACCAGTCATTCCTGAGATTAGCGCGTTCAAACAAATGCTTCAGCTTTATAATATTACTATAGATTAAGCTTGAAGAAAGAGAAACAAAAGATCCCAATACCGCATACATGGAAAATACCAGGCGAAATAAAAAAGCCATTTAAACATCCAAACCGGAGCCAATCAGTGCGACGTTTTTGCGATAACTAACTTTCGGAGCCGCGAATCGATAACGTGTGCTGCATTTAAACTGTCCCCGCCATTTTTGTCACATCTAATGAACTATTAAACTGTAATTTGGCTGCGCGATAGCACCGCGCAAGTATTGATCGAGTTATAGGCAAGTTTTGCCAAGTCACGGGTTGGCAGAGGCTGGGCTATTGTGGCGAAATGGGGCTGAAGGCGCGAGAGGAATCTTAGCCGGTTGCGTGTTGGCATACATTTTGTTCACGTCGCTAGATTATTCTAATTTACGCCCCCACTTGTATTTGTGATGGGAAGCTTTAATAATAAATTTCTTGCATATCTCATTAAATCATATTTTATGAATCTATTAAAATATGTTTTTAAATTTAAATACGTTTCCTGTTAACATTTGATAAGGTAGTACATAAAATGAACGTGTTAATCTGTGGTTTACTTATTATTAGGCCAATGTTTTAGGCACAGGAAGTTTTATTCTCGTTATTGAATTCAATCGCGTTACCTTACGCAATGAAGCCGTTACTATATCGAAATATACGAGAAAATGAAATAGACAACCACACATTTAATGGGCATATTATAGTATAATAGTATCACATAATTTTTTTTCTAAAACAAATTAGTATACACATATAAAATTCTAAAACTTGTCAACAAATTTTTAAATTGTTTAAATTATAGTCCGACGTTTCGGATTAGCAGTAGCCATGGTCATTTAGGGAGACTGAAGATGGAGGGGGTGTCTCTCATGTCAAAGTCAAATCTGCTACGATAGCGCCATCTGTTTCGTTGTAATTAATGAATTAATAATTCGCCTTTTAATCCGTTAAAGATATTTTATTTCTAGTCGGGTATTAAAGAAGACGGTTGGACGTTTTACACATCCTTTAATGTTATACGCATAGGTGGACCATGTTTAAAGAAAATAATGGAATATTACATAACGTTTTTTTTATTATTTAAACGACCGTACAAAATATAAATTAGTACACAAATTATAAGACAACTGTTTAATCACTATTATATAGTGATATTAAGGACCTGGAAGTTCGTTATATCTCACTGGGTAAGTCAGCTGGTTTCCTCGATCCCAAGAATAGAGTTCCTGTAATTACGAATATAAAGTTCATTAATTATTTCACCTATGAAAAGCACACACGCATTTATCAATAGGCAGATCTACATTAGATAATATATTTATCTGTTTTAAGTTAGTTAATACATATTGGTAAATTATTAATATACAACGTATAACACACGTACACACGTGAGTAACTGATAAGAAAACATTTACAAAAGTATGTTTTAAATATTGTATATTGGTACAAAAATACTTATGCAAAATAGAGCTTATTCACATACAGAACATAATGAGTATTAGATTTTAATATAATTATTTTGAAATTTAACGCCATCTATTGATTGAGTGCTATAACATAAATTTTGGTTTTATTGCGCCATCTTCAATTTAGCCAGTACATTAGAACAAATAGATTTTTGTTTAAGCTTAGCGCCATTTTTACTTTAAGTTACTGATTACAACAACTAGAATTGTATACTATACATGGTACAACCGCTAGAGGGCGTGAAAAGCAATACAGTTTAAAATGTCATGCACCATTTTTTTTATTTCTCAAAACACATTTTTAACAAGACCGGTTGTCTATGGTTTGCATAAATAATAAATCTTATAATAAAGGTGTCCTGGGTTTCCGCGATGCCATTTTCAACAAAAAAACAATAAATTTTGATATCCAATGGGTGGTAGGTTATTTATGTATATTTCGCGCGCAGCGTAGCGTATATTGTTTACCTTATGTGTATGATCGTATCCCAACTGCGTAGTTTTTCTAAATGGGTTAGTAAATTGAAGTGTCACTTCCACTGGTTTACTTTGATATAGATCTATGGCTACTGTCACTTTGCTGTCACGATCAGTAGCTGAATCCAGCGCATACAATACACCACACACTATAAACATTTCTCCCATCTGCAAAAAAACTACCGTTAGTATTGAATACTGTATATATTAAAAAAAAACTTTTTCTAACCGTTTGAAACGCGAAATATAGTCGTTAACTAATTTTTAATTTATGTTAATTACGATTTAACGATGGGGGCAAGACTTGACCCGGCATCCATAGCGTTCCGTGAAGTTGCTCTAAACCAACTTCACAATAGGTACTTACTCTATATAAATCAATTTGCATCGGGTTGAAACGCAATTCCCTATACAAGTAAATTTATTTTTAACTAACGCTGTGGACATTGTTTATTTATCGTTAGTATTTTGCACGAGATAATTTTATAAATTAAGCAGAAATCTATTACTTATTTCGGAAAAAGTACAAATATAGGAGCATAGAACTTATATTCACTTCAATAATACACTGCTATTATCTATACTACATACTTACTTAATATACTGTACGTCTTAATACATACTTTTAACATTTCAATAAACAAACAAACAAACAGACATAAGTACTTTAAATTCACCATTATGTTACAAAATAAAACTTAATTAAAAAAAACCAAAATGTAGCGAGAAAAGGCGGCCTTATCGCTAAAAAGCGATTTCTTCCAGGCAACTTAGAAGATGGAGATTTACAATAATAAATGATAATAAGGGTAACACTACCGCTATAATAAGTTTATACAATACTAAGTATGTTTTTAAAGTTTGACTTAATAATTAAAATAACTTACCTAATTAAATGTGTGAACTTACCTGTTTGTGATTCAAAGTAATATTCCACAGGTAGTCTATATTCAAATCGTCTTTGTTTGGATCGAAGCTTAACTGAAAAAAGATAAGAAACAAACATTATTTTTTTATTAATAATAAATAAATACATATAAACATAAATACATTAAAATATGTACCTTAGCAACTGCAGTATTATTTGATCCTTCCATCGAGTAGATAGCCCAGAGGCCATTATCATCAGCACTAAAGTCGACCTAAAATAAGTTTGAGTAATTAAATTATATCTAGTTCACTATTGTCTAAACAAGATGCGCGAAACGTCGGGCCGAAGTTAAAAATCATATTCAAATAAGCTTAACTAATATATCGCGTTTTAAACCGTTTTATTTAAAATATGCGCTGTTTAATTATTTTGGCTTTGGATATTCGCGATTCTACAGACTAAAGCCGAAACCTTCATCTGTCTTTGAATTCATCTTGAAATCTGAGTATTAAATTATTGTAATGCATATCGGAATTTCGATTTATATCTGTGGACGGTGGTTCACGATCATGAACTACCCTCCACAAAGCCTTCACTCTATTCAATTAAGAATTGATCGTTATTTAGATTCAAACGTTCAGATCACTTTGCTGATACCTGATTGTGTTGTGAAGAGTACAGGCGTCCATCAGCGTGGGGCAGATGAACAGACTTAATTCTACTCTGAGTCAGGTCATATCGAATAATGTCCCCAGGATGACCAGATTCATTCGCCTGGTAGAAGAAAGATCCACTGTAGACGATGTGGCCGTTACCCTGGCAAGGAGAAGGAGTCGATTATTTTTATGACAGAGGACGAGATCTTCACTTTATGAAGGTAGGCCGTATATAAATATAAAACATTAGGCTGCGACCAATAATAGCAAAGAGTCAATGAGAAATGTGAAAAATAAATCTTTCAAAGCTACTGTTGCTTGCACTACGAAAACGATTAAAGAAACCAGAAATATATATGACAGTATATTTGTCTATTTTAAGATTAACATGCAAGATCGCTAGCAATGACTGTTCTAAGCGAAGCCGCGGGCACAGCTACTAAAATACGAGAAATAATTATTATCTTACAAAGAAAGGTTTCTGTAGCTTATGAAACTCATCGACATGGTCCTTCTTGAAACTGGATTTGCTTCGATATTCGCGAAGTCGTTCCACATCGTTCTCCTGAGTAGTCCATAGTTTCTCCTTCTGAAATGTTAATTTTTTATTTAATCGACTAATTATTTATAAACGGACCTATTATATTAACATTATTGTATCATCTTTGATTTATAATGACATTAAGCTAGGTGGAAACTAGAGAAGGACAGACGAGCAACTTCTCCAGAAGCGTTGGCGCCAGGGGCCATTGAAAATCAGTGTTGCAACACAAGTGTTCGTAACATTATGCTGAGTGGCTCCTGCTTTAGGGGTTGCCATACTTATTTTTTTTATTATATTTTTTATATACCTTTAAGCTTTTTATTAAGTTAATATTAGTTAATAGTTTTTTTTATTTTTGTGAGCAATTTTTAAATAAATGATTTTTAAATACTGTCTATAGTTTACGCGAGTAGTGCACATTTAAATAAAACACTTTAACGGTTTAAAACGCGAAATATTAGTTAAACTTATTTGGAAATGATTTTTCACGGGGGAGTTTCCCGGGCACCCGGGCCCCCCCAACCCCCCCCAACTTCCCACTACCCCCCCCCCCCCCCAAGCCTCCCAAACGTCACCGAGCCGAAGTTAAAGTGTTTTATTTAAATGATTTTTATATTTATACATATTTTATAACTGTGGACGGTGGCTCATGATCTGGACGGAACTTCGATCTTCCATCATTAAATATTCATCTAGCATGTGTCAGTAAAATTACCACTTAATTTTAAATAGATACTCGGTCTTGGAAATAGAATCAATTAGAATTATTTCGTCTTTCGAAAAATGGAGAGATTATTATACACTTACCTGATGTTCTGTGGCGTTGGAGTCTCTTAGCCAAGCTCCGAACAATTCGTCTTTGTAGCGATGGTATACAGGTTTACCAATCGCGTACAATTGGCAGTCTGTAATTATTTATTACAAAGATCATCTTTGATTATGTCCGTTGCGTGTGCTGCGAAAACGATTCGAGCAACCCAAAAAACATGTAAATGTCCGCGACATATACATGTTTTTATGACTATATGTATACACACTTCTTAAGATTAACTTGCAAAAATAACGGGACGCGAAGGCCGTCGTGGGTAATAGCTATATTTTAAAAAGATGAGAAGAAAGTTTGTAAAAACATATTTTGATGCAAAATACTACGCGGACGAAGTCGCGGGCTTAGCTAGTTAAGTTAAGTGTAAACGGATGCTACTCACTTGTGTTTCGTCGAGGCTTATATGCTGTTGTTCCGTTCATGCTGGAAATCATTAGCAGGGCTCTATCGCATCTTGGACATGAAGGGCACTTCTGGACCTGGCAGAGTTCCTCGTACGACGTAAGAGTCGGAGGTCGGGAGCCGTACTCCATAGGCTGTTGGACTTGCATGTGCTGGTTCGGTCCTGGATCTGTAGAGATGAAGAAACTAAGTATTGTCTGTAGTTTACGCGAGTACACATTTCAATAAAACACTTTTAACGGGTTAAAACGTGAAATATATGAAAAGTCGTCGTTAAATAAGTTAGCGTATACATTTTGCGTTTTAAACCGTTAAGTGTTTTATTTAAACATACATATTTTATAAATTAAAAAAGGGGTTTTTATGATACATTTATTAATCAAGACGGACAAAATATGTATAAATTATAATAATAATGTTCAAGAGAGCTTAAAATATGATTTGAAAAACCAAAGTGCACGGGCTTATTGGTCTAATCTATGGCGAATAACAACATGTTTTAAAAACTCAAATTATAATTTTTCTGACCAGACTTTGTCTAAGAAATCTACATATTAAATGTTGTATGAATAACGAAATTCAGTCCCCGTAACAAACTGATTAACTACGGTCTAGAGATGGAAAAGCAGTAGTATTATCGCGTTTCGGTTCAGGTCTTTTGATGTTTGACTAACCAAAGGCAAAATGGGTTGATTGCGCGTCTTTTTAGATACTATCTGATTGTGGCATTTAGGTTATGAAAAATGTATATGTATATCCAGTTATTAAGTTTGTCTTCGTTATGAAAATATATTATAACGAATCGTTAGCATCGGCGAGATTTAAACTCACGATGCAAAGGAATACTATCAAAGCACCAACATGTTTAATGATTTTTTTATACTCCTTTAAGTACTTAAAAGATAACCTTACATGCCAACCGAATATGCCCTTTAACAGTCTGATTGTTGAGCTCATTTTTCGCTACACAACTGTACTGCCTCAAGTCGTGTTCTCTTATGCTCGGTATTTCGAGTCTCATGATCCACCTCCACGCGTCTTCAGTGGGGGATACTTCGCTCTTGAATCTTGTGCCTTCCATCGTGACTCCGTCGCATTCCCACGCGAAGACTGGTTCCGGCCAGGCTTGAACCTAGCCAATGAAGAAAAGCAGGTCGTTTATTATTAACTAGCTGATCCGGTTTAAGTTGGTTTTGTTGCTTACAATATTAATATTATTATATTTGTGCAATAATAGTCAGCTGATACAGTGGACAGATCACCGGCCGTATATCGGTGTTCCCAATAGAAAAAAAACCGATTGATACCAAAAATAATAGCTAATATAGTCCATTAATTTCAATCAAATTTGATTACCATGAAAACTGTTCACGTAAATACTGTCTATAGTTTACGCGAGTAGTACATATTTAAATAAAACACTTTAACGGTTTAAAACGCGATATATTAGTTAAACTTATTTGAAATGATTTTTAACTTCGCCCGACGTTTCGGATGCTTTGCAACATCCGTGACCAAAAAAGTTTAACTAATATATCGCGTTTTAAACCGTTAAAGTGTTTTATTTAACTGTTCGTGTGTAATAATTTTAAAAGATAGACGTATGTTGTCGCGGAGATTGTTCAGATCATTTAAAGACGAATCATTTATATATTTTTAGGTATTTTGAATGGTTTTCGCAGCGCACGCAACAGAAGCCTATAAAGACGAATAATTTCCCCGTTTTTACCATGATTCCCTACTGTTTGTTTGCTCCCGTCGGTTGCAACGATGTGTAGTCTAAAACCTTCCTGGATAAATATTTCAAACAACACTAATTCAATTCGAAGTTCTTGAATTTTAAACTCTCCAGCTTTATAATATTAGCATAGATTAGAAGTATCCTATTTGCCTTACCTCACATTCTATCTTCGCGGTCTTATTGTAGACGTAAAGAATGTTATTCGGGACTCTTATGTACGGGCTAACTGAAAATTTATACTCACATTAATAAAATCCACGGTAACTTAAAACGCGAAATATTTGTAGCGAGCTTCAGAATCTGTATAGTACACTTATTAATATTTCGTATTTTAAACCATTAAAAGTGCTTTAATCAACGATTATAACTAGCCAATGTTTGTTGTTATATATGAGATAGAAATACATGGTATCACAGTTTTTAATATGATGTAGCTTGAAAAAATCATCAACATTAAATTTAATTAAAATCGGCCTAAGCCAATTTTAATAAAATGTACCGTATAGGCTACTGTTTAGACTAGTTAAGGCTTAGAAGTTCTTTATCAAAGTAACATGAAATAATTGATTATAGCAGATACTCTAATAGCATCTCAATCATTACTAAATAGTTGTGAGTTTCCAGAATATCAAAACTGTGACAAAATTAAATTACTACCAATTTGTATGAAAAAAAAAACTTCTTTAAATTCGATCGCTAATAAGTTTAGCTTATAGAAATAGTTTCATTAGAATGACTATAAGGAACATTAAAATATATAATCTGATAAGTATGTACACGACTAACAATGGATTTCGACGTCGGTGGTCTGATTAGCCGGTGGTTGCATCCCATTGTTTGCCAAACAAACGTATTTGCCCGTGTGCCACCGGGATACATTCGGTATATTCAGAACGTGGCCGCTTACGGAGGCGTCACGCCATGAACCCTGAAAAAGTATGAATGAATTCAACTAAAAAAAAATAGGTAATATAATTTACCCGCTTCTAATAAAAAAAAATATTATTATTATTAAAATAATCTTTTTTTTCAAAAAAAAAAAAAAAAAAACCCCCCCCCCCCCCCCCCCAAAAAAAAAACCCCCCCCAAACCCCCCCCCAAAAAAAAAAAAGGGAGGGGGGGGGGAGAAGGAGGGGGGGGGGGGGGGCCAAAAAACCCCAGGGGGGGGGGGGGAGAAAAAGAAAAAAAAAAAAAAAAAAAAAAAGGGAAGAGGGGGGGGGAGGGCGGGGGGGGGGGCGGGGAAGGGGGGGGGAAGCGGGGACCCCCGGGACCCCCCCACAAAAAAAAAAAAAAAAAAACCTTTTCCTCCCCTTCTTTTTCCGAAAAAAAAAAAAGAAAAAAAGGGGAGGGGGGGGGGGGGGGGGGGGGAAAGGGGAAAAAGGGGAGAAACCCCCCCCCCCCCCCCCCCCCCCCCCCCCCCCCCCCCATTCCCCCACCAAAAAAAAAAACCCCAAAAACCCCCCAAACAAAAAAAAAAAAAAAAAAAAGGAGAGGAAAAAAACCAAACCACCCCCCCCCACCACCCCCCAAAAACAAAAAAAATTTTTAGGGTTTTTGGGGTTGAAGGAAGAAAAAAAAGAAGGCAGGAAAAAACCCAACCACCCCAAACTTAAGGGATTAAGGGGTGAAAAAAAAAAAAAAATTAAAAAAGGGGTTTATTTTTGAAAGTGGGGGGTTGAAAAAAAAAAACGAAAAAAAAAAAAAAAAAAGAAAAAAAAAAAAAAAAAAAAAAAAAAAAAAAAAAAAAGAAAAGAGCCCCCCCCCCCCCCCCCCCCCCCCAAACCAGGGAAAGGAAGGAAGAGGAACCCCCCCCCCAACGCACCCCCCTCCCGCCGGCCAGCAAGAAATTAAAAAAAAAAAAAAAAAGGGAAGGAAAGAAAAGAAAAGAAAAAAAAAAAAAAAAAAACACAAAAAAAAAAAAAAAAGAGGAAGGGGAAGAAAAAGAAAAAAAAAAAAAGGGCCCCCCCCCCCCCCCCCCCCCCCTCCCTTCCCCACTTTTAAATAAAAGGGGGGTGGGGGGGGAGAGGGAAAAAAGCAAGAAGAAGAGAGAAAAAGGGGGGAGGGGGGGTTTAAAAAAAAAAAGGGAGGTATATAAAAAAAAAAGTTTCTGAAAAAAAAAAAAGGAAAAAGAGAAAAGGAGAAAAGGGAGAAGAAAAAGGGGGGGAAGGAGGTTAGGGAGGGGGGGAAAAAAAAAAATAACCCCAGACCAGAAAAAAGGCCCCCCCCCCTCTAAAAAAAAAGGGGGGGGGGGAGAAAAGAGGGGGAGAGGGGAAAAAAAGGGGGGGAAAAAAAAAAGGACGGGCCCACCCCCCCCCCCCCCCAGGCAAAAAAAAACGCGGGGGGCCCCCCCCCCCCCCCCCCCCCAAAAAAAAAAAGAGGGAAGGAAAAGGGGGGGGGGGGGGGGGGGAGGAAGGGAAAAAAAAAAAGGAGGGGGGGATGGTTGGGGGGGGGGCAACACCCGCGGGGGGGGGGAAAGGGGGGGGGAGGGAGAGGGGGGAGAAAAAAAAGGGGGGGGGGGGGGGGAGGGGGGGGGGGCGGGGGCCGAGGGAAAAGAGCCACCCCCCGGACCAGGCCCCCGCCCCCCCGCTTTTTCTGATTAATAAAATTGTTGCTCCCGGGGGGCCCGGTGCTTTCGTTGGGGGGGGGGCGGGTTTTTTTTTTTTTTTTTTGGTTGGTTTTTTTTTTTTTTTTTTTTTTTTGGTGTTTTTTTTTTTTTTTTTTTTTTTTTGTTTTTTTTTTTTCATTGGGGGGGGGGGGGGGGGGTTTTTTTTTGGGTGGTGGGGTTTTTTTTTTTTTTATTATTTATATATATTTATTATAAAATAAATAAATAAAAAAAAAAAAAATAAAAAAATAAAAAAAAAAAACAAAAACGGGAAACAATATAGTAAGCCAGGGATGAGCAACGCACGGAGCGGGGTCCAAAGCGGGCCAAGTATTTTTTTGTGTGATCCGGCGATGAAATTTTAACATCAATGACTATTTTAGCAAAATACACAATGAAAATTAAATGCCTTATCCAAAAAAAAAATCAAAATGAATTATTCAATAGTTTGGTTTGTTTTTTGTTTGTTATTTCACTCTTTTCCATGTTTCAAACTTTTAAATTGAAATTCGCTGGAACATAAAATATTGGTTACTGAAACATGGAAAGGTTTGTTCGTGTGTATAGAATGTCCACGTTAGTCTTATAAATAGCAGCGTAGTACGATACACAAGATTTGTTTTATGAAGTCTTTAATGTTTTATTAAGCTTTTGTTTGAATTTTATATTTAAAATATAAATTAATAAATATTATTTATTTTATTTTTTAAGTAAACCGGTCGTACAAATTCAATAAGATATATGTATGGAAATTGTTGTATATTTAACCTGAATTATTGGTGTACCATCAGCTCTCCGCCACTCGATGGTGGGTTCCGGGAAACCTTTGGGATTGCAGTCCATTCTCATGGTGTCACCTTCGCGAACTATAAGCCGCGGATTGTCCACTGAAACATACATTTGTATTCAGTAGTATTTGGGTTTAAATTCAATAATTTAAAAAATATTGTTTTAATTTTCATAAAACATAAGATTAATTATTGTTTTACGTGCATACGTAGTTTACGCGAGAAGTGCACAACGAAACAATTTTAACGGATTAAATTGAAATATCTATATATATTGATTAAGTTAACTTCGATATTCGACTTATAACTTATAAAGCAAGAAATCTCCATTTTACCATTGTATATTAGTGGGACATTATACTGAATATTGTATTAAAACTTCTGTTAATTTTGACGGTTTTAAACCAAAATTTTAATATATACTAATTTTTATTATAATTTTAATTACGATTCGACGACGTTTATCTTTAAATGTGCACTATTTACGTTAACTACAGATAATATATTTGTTTTTTTTATAAATATTCATATATTTAAACATGTTTTACGCAGCATACTTAAAGGATTGTTAAAATAATTTTACCACTAATTATTAGCACATAATATTAAACATTGCAAATATAACTTAACGTGAATATCCGTTTCAAGTCTTACATGCAAACGATGGTGGTATAAAAAGCTGGTTTTCCTTGGTATAGTTGTAAATGGATAGTCCAGGTCGACCTGGTGACCCGTCACGCCCGTCGTTACCGCGCATGCCTTTGGGACCTTGTGGACCCTTGTCACCTTTGAGACCCCGAGGACCTTGGGGCCCTGTGGCCCCAGGCTTCCCTGTAATTGTTATTATGCTATTATCTAATAGAATTTCTAAGCTTAAGCTCATAATTATGAATGTTTTTAAATAAAGAACCGCAGATGGGATACGAACGACCACGACCAAATGCGTACCGCGCTGTTGCGTTACGGGCTAAGCTGCTAAGTGCTACCTATCGGTTTTGACTATCTTTCTTTTTTATGATAGAGAAGGATAGACAAGCATAGGGTTCTCATGATGGTAGATAAAATAGCCCAGCCTTATGACATCTAGTTTCGCTGTCGACCTATTTTATTTCGGATACTTGGAAATCAAAACGCGCTGAAACTGAAACGTACTCAAACTTCACATTTATTACATCAGTAGACGGTAGTTTGAGACCATATCGGACGGAATTTCGCTATGTCTACCATCAATTTTTTATCCAGATTTTCAGACAAAGTCAAACATATTGAACCCCGTGGGGTTCGAACCCAAGATCCGTTGATTATTGGGCATACGTTGTTACCGTTACATATATTATAAATGTTCAAGTATTTACCATCTTTTCCATCCTTCCCATTTTTCCCCGGACTACCGTCTCTTCCGGGTATTCCGTCTCTACCATCTTTCCCTGGTGCGCCATCTGCTCCATTTCTGCCCGAGAGCCCATCTAAACCAGGTTCACCGGGAACTCCATCTCTGCCATCCAACCCAGGGTTGCCAGGGAAACCACGTTCTCCTACGCATAAACTACTCTAAGTAAGGATTTTAACTTCTGAATATCTAAATAAAACACTTTAACGGTTTAAAAAGATAAGCGATATATTAGTTAAACTTATTTGTATGATAAGTTTAACTAATATATCGCGTTTTAAACCGTTAAAGTGTTTTGATTAAATGTGTACTACTCGCGTAAACTATAGACAGTAATTCTGAATATCTTCTATTTCAAAAACCAGCTTTTTTCCACTAACACAAGTCATACTAATTATACCAAATATAGATTTTTCTTGCGGTTCTGCGAGCTTTTTTACGAAAAATTGTGTAACGTTGATGTGTCTATACTTTACGCGTGTAGTACACATTTAAATAAATCACTTTAACGGTTTAAAACCTCCAAATTCTTGTCTCCCCGTGACCACTGCTGCTGCGAAGCATCCGAAACGTCGGGCCGAAGTTAAAAATCGTTTTTCAAATAAGTTTAACTAATATATCGCGTTTTAAGCTGTTAAAGCGTTTAACGTTGATATCTGTTGAAATATTATAGATTACACAAATTTAAAAAAGCAATGTTAAGCAAATTTCTTTTTTTTCTTTCTCACTTCGGTTAATTAACCCGTCATAGCGATGTAAGCAATGTATAAGACCAAGCCTCGTTTATTTCTTAAAGTATTATTGTTTGATTAAGAAAAATATGTTACTAGTTTGCCTAACCTTTTGGGCCAGGTGGTCCAACAGGTCCTCTGGCGCCAGCTCGACCTGGTGTACCAGGGGATCCAGGGTCACCCCGATCACCCTTCGGACCTGGTTCTCCATTGGGGCCCTTTGGGCCTTGTACACCAGGTGGACAGTAGTCTTGTGTTGCTTTGCAGAAGCCTTGAACGACGTTATACTGTAAAATTAATTTAAAACCGACGATTGAGAAAAGGCTTTAAGCAAAACTTTTCTCCACGAAACGACAAAAATATCCCAGTCCATGAAACGTGCCACTAAGACTTAGAATATAGAAAATTCTGTTTCTTCTTGCATATTATCGTTAGGAAGAAAAAAAAACCATACGCTTTTGTGTTGTGATCTTATATAAGATCTTTATAGTTCAAATGATACAAAGCTGTATAAATCTTACCGGTACTCTGGAATAGCTTGTAAGCCAGACCCAGGTATCACCTCCTGGGGCCGGTCCTTTTGCCCCGGTCTTTTTCATTTCAGCTGCATCTTTTTCTTCAAGCTCCGACCGCATTTTAGGGTTGAAAAACTCAACGTGTGGAGCTACTGTATTGTCGTCTTGAATTGCTGATGGCTTCTTAGAACAAAATAAACAACTATTTATTGCTATAGGGAACAAGTACTCAAAGCGTTGGACGGGATAGTATTAAGATAATAGGTACAGTAAAATTATAGGAGTTAATAATGAGACGTAAATATGAATGTCTTAGAATAGTCAGTAGTATCGGTTTGAAACGCGAATTGTAATCTTTACAACTGTGTTTAAGCTCACTTACAAAACTTACTATTAATAACTATGGTCATGGCTGCTACAAAACATTGTTAAAATATACGGATAGAAAAATAAATATAATAATTCACGTTTTAATCCGTTATGTGCTTTACTTAAACTTTCAGATAAAATATAATTTAGATATCTATATAACGATAACGATAGATAACTTCAAGGGTTACCCAGTGGAAGGGACCTCCTGGTAAGAGGAGAAAGGGGAGAACAGCATAGCACGAGACTGAAAAAGTGGTCATCTTTGTAGGAGGCATATATCTAATTGGTATTGCTGATTTATAAGTATTTGAACATTACTAACATATTCTAAACTTAGGTACCTACTAACAAATCTTTTTATTGTATTATAAAAGGAAATAATGTAAAAGGCAAGAAATAAATGCTTATGATTATTATTATTGTAACGATAACGGTTACTATGATTGTATTCATAATTATACAACAATATAAATAAAACAGTTTTAACGGATTGAATATACAAGATAACTTCTTATAATTCATTTTAACTACGGTCCGTCGTTTCGTCATCACGGGGGACAATGTAAAAGTGTTTTATTTATGTATTACTTCGTAAACTACAGACTGTAATTAGATACTGTCTGTAGTTTACGCCAGTAGTACATATTTAAATAAAACACTTTATTTTTTATTTTATTTTGATTTATTTACTTAGGAAACTAAACTGCCGTGTCTCTTATGATAACTTAAAACAAATATATTCTTATTATATAGGGAAAAAATAAATGTATTTATAGAAATCTAAATGTATGTAGGCATGTACTCAGAAGCAGTACCTATACAAGAAACGAGAAAAATACCTTTAAACGGTTTAAAACGCGATATATTTTAGCTACACTTGTTTGAAAATTGTCTCCCCGTGACCACGGCTGCTGCAAAGCATCCGAAACGTCGGGCCGTAGTTAAAAATAATTTTCAAACAAGCTCAACTAAAATATATCGCATTTTAAACCGTTAAAGTGTTTTATTTATATACAGGACTATGCTATGCATACATCTAGTACTTACGAGCATCGCGTCGCGTTTTAACCTGTGCGGTGTCCAGTTCATTTCATTTAAGTATGTCCTAATTCTATCCTCCAACTCACTCTCCATCGCAGATTTCATTAAACTTTCAGCTTTGAAGTTATCGTAGCTCGAATAGCTATATGTATGCAGCAGTAACGAAATAAGACCACAAACAAACGCGAGCACAGACAGCTTACAACCGCACTTAGTAGCTTCATCTGAACATTTCTTTTTAGCTTTCGATATGGTCTTCATGGCTCTAAGATCAAGTTACAACGTGGAGACATTGGGCCCGTCGCTTGGTTAGTTCGTTACTGAATTATCAATCTGGACAAATATAGACCTTCCGGTTCGTATATTGCACAACGGTCCGATAACCAATTGTGTTGTTACTATTAAATCGTTCTGGGCATTCGACAGACGTAAGGGTCTACTGATATACATGTCTAGAGGAATTCCAAGTATTGACTTTTTAATAAAACACTAGGAACGGTTTAAAACGCGAAATGTATTATTCACAATGGTAACGTAGTCCCCCGTGACCGTGGCTGCTACAAAGCATTTGAAACGTCGTAGTTTGTAAATAAGTTAAGTAATAAATTTAAAATTTTGAACCGTTAAAAGTGTTTTTTTTATTAACAGTCATATATTCTTACAGAAAGTACTAACAATAATTATAAGTAGTAAGAGATCTATGATTGATTAAAAATAGTTAACGATAAATTAAATATTTTTAAAACTATATATGTAAATATTAAAAAAATATTTAACCGGTTTAAAAGAAATAATATTAGAAAAATTTATAAATAATTCAGTAAAATAAATAAATTTTGACTAGATGTCTTGAATATTCGTAGAAGTAATTTTATTTTATTGATTAATTAAGATTATTTGCTTTTTGTGTAACAAACTTATTATATTTCTAAAACACGTTTGACTTTGTCTGGAAATCTAGGTAATAAATACATGATAAATGTTATTTCGCAGGGGAATTTCAGCTTTCAGTTTGCCTGTTTACCAGATTTAGATTTTAGATGGACTAAAAAAGTCATACAAAATTATTTTGAACAGAGAAATAGAAATGACAAACAAACAAAAAATTCTTGATTTTTCACCACAATGTTACAAAAATAAACTTAATTAAAAAAAAAACAAAATGTAACAAGAAATGGCGGCCTTATCGCTTTCTTCCAGGCAACCTTGAAGATGGAGATTGACAATAATAAATGATAATAATAATTTAATAGTTTTGAAGACCGTGCCTAGTAATTGCTGCTATCTTTATCTTACATTTGGTACATCACTGACATCTATCTCCTATCGATAATTACATATACTTTCTTCTACTCCACTCTGCGCATGCGCCAAAATCTGTGTCAGGGACACGACATGACACGACCGCCAAGGTCAGTCGTGTTTAGCGTCGTTTGACAAGCGAAACGTACTAGTCAGTGTAAATTGTGGATAGAATATGAACTTTACGCCACCATTTGCTAGATCGCCAGGTAAATTCCAGCAGTATATTCCAGCATTGGAAGTTAAAGAAAGAGTGACGCAGTGAAGTGAATTGGATTATTTGTATATTATATCTTAGAGTTAGTTGTTTTTTCATTCTGTTACGTTGTAGTGCAATCGAATTGTTTTAATATTAAAAAAAGAAATTAAATACGATTCAGAAGACATTTTACATAATAAATTTTATCATTTGGGACAATTTTAATACCTTAATTCAATTTATTTCAAGCAAGGCTTCCGTATTAACACTATATTTAGATTCCAATAAGATTACATCTTCTAAATCACTTCTCAAAGATGTAGATAGTGTCGTGACTACTAAGATTTTATAAATTCGAAACTAAATTACATTTTAAAATAATATACGTCTTTGTGTCGGCAACCACGACAAAATATAATATATTAAAACTGTTTAAAACGCGAAAGATTATTATTAATTTACATTAACTACCTAGTAACCAGCGTGGAAAATGTTAAGAGTAAAAAAAAATAGTCTTTGTTTTCAGTACATAGTTAAATAACAATAAATAGTTAAATAAAATACACTTTAACTATAGGTCAATTTTTTTTCAAAGTCTAGATGTATATAGAAAAGAAATAGTAAATATATCTCACTCATATATTATTAAAGGCTATGTAAACTACTTTTAAAGAAAGTAACAATGTCTCTTTTAAGCAACTTTTTTTTTTTAATTCTTTATCACCAGCATGCAGTATCGAGCCATTAGACGACTACGAAACACCAAGAGCTCCGTTGCTCCGTCAGGTATCACTTGACGAAGAAAGACAAGATGACTGCCAGGGGCACTGGCGAGGACCTTACCTGGAGGGGGAAGAAGAAGAGAAAGGAGTCCGACTGTTCAGAGCGATGCTGCTGCAGCATCTGAGATTGGAGGAATTAAGGCCACCACCTTGTCTGTTAGTTCCAGCAACTCCTGATCCAAGGTATGAAATTCTTCTTTATTATGCTCATAGTATATGGCTCAAATAGTTGTATTTTTTATAATATTCTGTCATTTGGAGAAGATTTGGAGAGGCTTACAAAAAGTAATGTTTTTTTATCTTTATTGGTCAGGTAAGCACAAAATTATGGTACTGAACAAAAACATGTTATTAACAATCTCAAGTACACAAAGCATGTACCAAAATTTAATTTTGTGACAGAAGAGGAAAGAGAAGTAAAGGATTTACATTTACAAAACAAGAGGGCATCTCGACTTTGACTTTAGACATTCAGAAATCCATACGTAGATACTCCATAGGCATATACACTTGACGGTAGATGCTGGTATCTTGTACCATGACTAACTAACGATATTTCTGGCATAACTAACAAAGGCTTTAGAAAAATTTTAATTGATTTTAGAAGCATGTGCTGTTTTATTTCTGACATATACATATAACATGACAATTGTTTAAAAATTATAGAGGTTGGTGGATGTATTGGAGGGATTGGCGATCTCTTGAGAAGGCGGCGAGAAGGTTCCGAGAAACAAAGGCACAAGCGAGACTCGCCGTCAGAGCTGAGCATATTCCTTTGCTGAGTCTTGATGAAGTTGCCTTTGAGGATATCATGCAGGAACTGTGCCAAGTAAGGGTTTTATATTTTAAACAACACGCACTCTCAGTTCACACAGTTTTTAGTGTAGGTAGTTTTTAATTTAGCGTTCACATTTTCCAATAATATAAATAAATACAATTCGGAATGTTAAGACTTTATCAGATACTGTATGTAGTTTACGCGTGTAGTGCACATTTAAATAAAACACTTTAACTTTAAAACGTAACTAAAAGTTAAACTTGTTTGGATTTTAAAAATTATTTTAACTACGGGCCGACATTTCGGATGCTTTGCATCAGCCGTGACTAATATATATCGCGTTTTAAACCGTTGAAGTGTTTTACTAAAAGACTTGTTAACCATTTTTTTTAATAATGCCCTTTGGACACATATAGAGAGATAAGATTAATTCAAATGATTTACTCCTTCCACCTCCAACATATTGAATTTTCAATAACCGTATAGATAATCTATTTCTATTGGTTCATTATAGTATAGATATAATAAGTAAAAAAATACCGTTTCAGGCTTGTGTCCATGCGGAGCAGAGGGCGTTAGTTGTTCTGGTGTTTTTGTGCGAAGTCTGCGCACGCGCTGTGAGAGTAGGGGGGTGGTGTCGAGCTGCCGACTGGGCTGCAAGACATGTGGCACAATGCGCGACACCTTGGGCTATAAGGCATGGTGGATGGGTGAGTTGATAAATGCTGGTACTTAAGAAATACTTTTTAGAGACCCATAGACAAGACGTTGACGCTAGAACATCGCCATTGGAAGTAATCTTCTAAAGCCTTGTTTAGATTGAAAACCGATGAGTTATGAGTTGAAGTACATCCGCGTCTTGAGGTTTATATTATTATTATTGTTTATTTTACTAGCGGCCTAAGCCGATGCGTGAAAATTATATTTTCTTGAAGTAAGAGTCTAAAAGGGTTTTGAATGTATTAAGTGAAGGAGCCGTAACAATTTCCAGAGGAGTTAGTTCCAGTCGCATACCACATTATTTGGAAAGAAATGTATCAGAGACCATTTCCATTGCATTGATCTGACTTCGGCTTTAAATTATGTCCCCTTAAATACTTGTTCTTGTTTTCAGTTCTTGTTCAGTCCATCTATGTTGTATAACTGGAAAGATTTTTATAGGTTTCTATCAAAGATCCTCTTTGTTAAATTATATCATTACCATAATGTTTACATGCGTACGCGTCACGCTTTAACGCTGGTGTTTTTCATGGTATGGTACCTCCACCTTGGAAACTATGTATCATGTATTGTACATTGCAATTGGGTGGCGTTTAAGCAAAGCTCTACCACAATTAGACAAGACTGACTGAGAGAGAATGTTACCTGCCTTCTAGAAATGATCACGATGCAGTCGTGGTGACTTATAGAACGCAGTTAGCATATATAAAGTGTTAATGTAAATACTGTTTCCAGAGTAACGTGGTGGAACGAGTGAGTGGAACTAGAAGAGATGATACTATATTAGCTGGAGCTGCTATTGCTGCGTTGCTGGCATTCCTCCTATTTTGTAAGACACGACTGCGGCTTACCATTCTATAATTTTTGTAACGAATAAAAAGGTTGGTATAGGAATTGAAGGTTTTTTTTAACAACAGAGGACACAAGTGTAGTTTTGGTCCAATACATCTGCTGTTACATCCAGTTAAGACGTGCTGTCGACCCATTTTGGCTTTGAACAATCGAGTGGTGTTTTTGATGGTCTTCTTACATTAATTACGATTCTATTCGTTTCTATGTCTAATCCGTCGCTATTTTGGACATATGTTTTACCAAACATTATTATAATATTGTTCTGAAAGAAATCCGATTACCTAGAGCTACTTAAGTATCGAGCTGATCGGCTGTCGTAATTGAGAAATGATTCTCAAAGGTTGGACATGACTTAGAAGAACGCGCAACATCTGACGATGACAATTTCTCAAATAAGGCGACCGAACAACTCGAAAACTTAAATCTTTGAGGAATAGCGAGAAGCCTTATACAATTTATGAATTTACATAACTTGTTTAGTAATACTATAGAAATTATTAAATAGGAAAAGTAATTTTTGCAGATTAAAACTAATATACTCAAAGAGATTTTATTTAAAGAATAAAACATGAAAATACAATTAGTTTTACATTTGGTCTTCAGTTTTTAGTGTATTCCTTTTAATATGTCTTGTCTTATCGGTTGTTTGCATAATTTTGAATTAGACTAAATCTTCTTAAATATTTTCGAATAATTTAATTTAGTTTTGTCTAATCAAAAAGTATTGAATTTAGTGTTCAGTTTATATTAGCAAGATGTTTTTTTTATATAAAAGGAATGATTCCCAGTGATCTGAAAGATATATTTAGAACTATTCAATTAATTGTTTATCTGTTTAAATGTATTTTAATTATTGATTTTTATTGAAATAAATATTTTATCGGTACAGGAAAGGCTTTTCATTACTTCATTCGTTTTTTAGATGTCATGGTCTTAACTACTCTAGTTGTAGATCACGTTGTGTTAGATATAAATGAATGAAATAACTGGTTCCTTTATTATTATTAACATAAAAAATACTCACTATAACTATTTTATTACGACTGTTTGCTGCTTTTCTTTATCAAAAATCAATCAGTAGCGTATTACTATAAGTATGTATATGAACTTCTCTACTGTATTTGATTTTACGTTGAGTGTGATTAAAAAATAAACATCTTAACTGCTTTAAAGCACGTAATATATTATCATTTTTTATGTTTAATTACGACTTGATATTTCATCCTAAACCTGCTACGTTGTTACCATTATAGTAATTATAAAGAAAATGCATTTTTCCGGAATTGTGGATATTTATATGGCGCAAATATCTCCCAGTTATTTTTTTCTTGAAAATCTCAAAAACGATATGAAACATAAAAAATATACATATATTTATAATGAAAATTATTCGTAGGTGAATGAAAAACGTTATTAACTATTTTATTATTTTTATTGTAATTTTTCATAATACCGTCGACACACGACGCTCACTGCATGCTCTTTGCGTACATCAAATAATTTTATTAAAAACACTAAGTACAAATCAATAGGTACTACAAAATATGGATGCGTAAATTATATTAATTACAATTTTTAACAATTTAATAAAAGCTTTGATAAGGATAACGACTTTAGTTTTACAAATGTTCTCTTACAAGATTGAAAGGTACAAGATAGATTTGTTTTTTTCCTAATGGCGTATTTGTTTATTTTTCTTTCGAGGTACAAGCGATTCATATGTTAGACAGAGTATAGAAAAAGTGAGGCTAATTTTTGTATTATATATAGTGTTTTCATAATATCAGTGGGAGTTTTTATATCACCTTAATAACAACGCTACTGACAACAAGTTAATGACTATAGTGGATACTTGAAATAGAAAATCGCTATTTTGTAATAAAAGCAAATATTGTAAATTGGTCTTAATTGTATTATTCTATAATATATATCTAGATCGTTGACGATCTACGTGCTTTTTTGTCCCCATCGCTAAATCTGATATATTATTTGAGAGAAGACTACTTATATCCGTCATATCCATCTTGTATAACAGTGATACAAATCACGTAAAAATATAATACTGTCAAAATATTCAAAATCCACTAACGTAACTAACATTCGATACAAGTCCAACAAGAGCCGCCCAAGAGTCCAATTACAACACTCACGTCGAAAACCTAAGTCTTAGCTACGTTTTAAAATCAATAACATTTTTTTTTTATTTTTCACTTAAGTTATAACTTTATAAGTAATATCACTATTAACGATCTACGCTGTCATCTCGACTTCGAGGCGTTTGTAACAAGTGGCAAAAGTTAAAATTGTACTGTTATAAACTAAATAGGCCTTAGCCAAGATTACAAACAAAAATCGACAATACTTGTTTTCTCGCATGTATGATATATAATATGTTTTTTTTTCATTTACTAATGCTTCTTGCGTTTTCGGCCGTCGTAATTGACGTTGATGTCGAAACGTCGAGAATTTTTTGTCAATTACGACGCGGACACATCGAAAACCCAAGAAGAGTAAAAGGGTCGCTTTACATAGTTCTTGTAAACTCCGTTAACGCTTGTAGTTTGATTTTGGCTACGGCCTCTGTAGTCCTGACAAAAATGTGTAAGACATTAAAGTATTAGATCGGAAAAATCTAAGTTTGAACTATACCAAGTCTAAGTTGAATTAATATATACCTGTTAGAAGTTTCTAATGACACTCGAATCGAGATGCGTCAGCTCAGAAAAAATTCTACTCATTTCATTCTTTTCGATACACCTTTAAAGCTATATTTTAGGTTTTGTATTTGCGTTTACAATATATAAAGAGTTCGTATTAATCTCCCTATCCCTCTTATCTGTGCCGAAAAAAATGAAACGACATTTTAATAAACCGCCTCCATTTCATATTTTATATAAAAATCATCACTCTAGTAACAATTCTACTCGAATATTGTACCTCAATTTTTGTAAGGTAGTTAACATATTTAAATTAGCTTTAAGCCTAATCTTACTCTACCGAGAAGTAGTAAAGGTTAATTTGTTCATAATAGGTATCAAATGGCTAATACATACTGTAATTTTAAATTGTAAAGATTCTAGTTGTAACAAATATGAGATATATCGGCAAGCACCCGTGCCGTGCGTTTGGAATGAGTGTAAGTTTCTTCAATCGCTAGATATAGAGATATAGCATGAACACAAAAAACTAAATGACAATTATAGGAATATATATTGAGCAGAAGAACCTCCTGAAGTTTTTCCTTTGAGAGCTTTGCTATTGAAAAGGTATTTTAAAAGTGCTCAGTGGTTCAGATCCGGCTCGAAGGACCAAATTGGTGTGTTTGCAACTGCGCTATTGTGTTTAGGTTCCAGATTTTTTGCATGTTTTCAAAATACTTTTTCAATGTAACTTTTTTCTCCTTATTAGAATGAAATCTATAAACAAATTTAGTAATGGTAATAAATCATGAGCATGATACGAATATTGAATCCGTTAATTTCGACCGATCTTATGTTAGAAATAAGGTATTTAATGGAAGGATACTTTACAGTTTCTAATCAATATTTTTATAAAGAGATAGATAGAATTCGCTAGAATATATTTAAGAATAGCTTATAGAACCGTGTCGCAGTAGAAATAGGCATTATGCGAACACTCGTACTTGGTGCTGTCCAGAATAATACTATACATAAGTTAAGAATTAGCACTCTACGTCATTCTAAGTTGTTTTTATAATATTATCAACGTCATACGAAATGTTTACTGGAGAGAAAAAGTTATTCAAACCTTAGAATTATATATAGAAATAGAATGGCCACGTTAAGATCGTACAGTTGATAAAAGATTTCGGATATTGAGTATTAATAACTCGTAAGGCCGTGCAAGCTTTACGCGACACCATTTTGGACATACTGTTGTTGTCTCTTTCTCACGATGACGTTAGAGAAAGAGACAGCAACAGTAGGCGCTAAACGCTTTGCGTCGTAAGCATCGAGCAATCTTTGTCGAGCACTGGTGTTGAAAACACGTCTTTCGCGAGTGATACGCTGTACGGCGTTCATGGTTGACAACTGTTTGATCGAAAGTGGCACCGCTAAGCGAACTACAGAAGGCTATAATATAATCCAACCTTACAGTATCACCATGTGTTTTGTGAAAAAGTCGAGCCTCCACCTATCTTGAAACGTGTCGTAAGCGCATATTCTTATCACAGAATATCATTGTATTTGATTGTCCGGTACCTACAGATATGTCAGTTTTTACAATTATTCTTCCACTCGTCTGTACCTATCTCAAAACATTAATAAACGCTGCCCGCTAGGTTGTCTTCGTCGCATGCCAAATGTTTTTTGTGCGCATTTCACGAATAGGTACTTTAAATTTCGTCACACGTAACGCGTTACTTGCAGTTGAGCGTTGTTTTGAATCAAAGCTTAACAATACAAACATTACTAACTAGGTTACCTCTATTTATTGCTATGTCATTTAGGCGGGGGTATCAATATAAAATTTGATGGGCATCAACAACTGATTTACAGAATGTTCTCTGTTTTAATTTATACAACAATATCAATTTTAACTTGCTAAGAAGAGACGTAAACAGATACGCTGAAGAGATCTACGGACGGTTTATAAGGTGTTTCAAAGATTTGAAGACATTGCCAATAATAAACCGTGCATCGCTAAATTGTACAAATAATAGAAGCAATAGCTCTGAGCCAATTAAAATAATTTTAAACGCGAACTATATTCGTTTATAATAATCTCGATACGTCGTTGGAATGGCCTCCAATAACGTTATATTATTCAAGACAGTGACACTAAGTGCGTTTTGTGAAAACCCGCTTGCTTCTTATGTTTCCCAAACAGAGGGTGCAGACGCTAGCATAGTACAATTTGACATAGACATTAGAGCATGGTTGTTACAAAGCAATAGAAACATTGGGTCGTAGTTGTAGTTCTTATACGAATCTAGTTCGCACTTAAATCAGTTATTTCTTACAGTTACTAAGATCACTGAGGCAAAAAAAACAGGCTACAATAATTTCGAGCGCAGCCTAACATTATCTATTATTTTTACACCATTATTGAAGTACCTACATATATGTATATTTCAATCGTAGATTCTGCGAATATTTATAAACAGGCACATTATTAACATTTCTCGATGATTCATTACGATAACTTAATAATTAATTATGACAATCAAATAAAAAAAAAGAGTTCCCGCCCTCTCCATTTGTGTATTTACAATAACTATTACATTATTGTGCAGAAAACACACGAAAACATTATTAATACAGAAAAAAACAATAAGATTCAGCAAAACATTACTGTTATTAAGAGAAATGTAATTATCGTCATTGAATTGATACACCGTGTGTTAATTGAACTTGTTCATCTTGACAGACCGCGATTTATTTTCCGAACCATAGACAATGTATATAGACGCTTTATATTATCAACTTCGATTTAAGCAAAAATTATTAAAAATACTTAAAAAACTGCTTTTAAACTAAGTACTTGCAAATCACACATAGCCTATATTGGTAAATTAAACTTAACTTCCTTACTAATAAAAATTGGCATTTACGCCATCTTTGGTTTTTTTTATGCAGTTTTATTAGTACGGAAGTTATGTTTATTTTCTTCTGCACTTGAAATCTATTAATATGGGTGAACGTACATCGTCAGAGTTTTACCTACCCGACGGTGACATTTTTTTCTGCGAATGGAAACCAGTGTCGCTTCTAACTCTGCGTACATTTAGCCATGTTACAAAATAAAGTTCTGAGATAACTTACTCCAATCTCAGATACCGTAATATATATTATATGATTTTAAACTTTTATATGTTTCATAAACGTTGAAATAATTTGCACAACAAAGTTTTGTATAGGTATATCATTTTAAAGGCATTTTATGTAGGTACTTTGTTGATATCATAATCTTTGAATCAAACATAATTAAGTACACACCAAATAGACACATTTAGCCCAGTCAAAATAGGCAATGATTAAATTGTCAAATACGTAAAATTAGCCCACTTTATTACCATAAAATTAGCTGAGACCATTACATACATAACATCACCACCATAACAGAATAATAGACCATTACAAATAAAATGTCTAAAACTCCGTTGCATCCTACATTTGCAAAAAATATATTCCAAATTTAAACTGTGTGGAAATAGATAAGATAAAGTTCCACACACTACAATTATGCAGGAAAATCTATTTAAATCAAAAAAATAAGATTCATATTTTACTATTATTTTAGTTAAATGTCTATTTTGACTGAGGTAATTGTGTGTGTATTTGATAGTAGTACAAAAAACTATAAAAATTATGGGGAGTATACATTTAGATATATTCGTTAGAGCTACGCCGTAGCTCGTAGACATGTGCTACGAAATGCCAATTTTAATCTGTGAAATTTTGTTTTATCTTTGGTAGATACAATCGGAGGCAATTCCTAAGTTGACATCCCTTTAATATTATCTTAAAAGTACTCTCGTTGTACATTTTTCTTGATATCTAATATATTTTAACTAAAAGTTTAATATTATTCATGCCACAGATACATTTTTAAAATATGTATTTCGCCTTGTTCCATGTTTGTATAGTTTGCAGATATAACTTTGTTTGAGTAAATAAAATAACTAATTCCTTTGGTACCAGTATCATGAGAGTTAATGTAACGACATAAAATTGAGCTAAATAAACTTTTAACGGTTTCAAACGAAGAATATATTAATTAATAATTACTTTTTAATATGGAGCCTAAGAAATCAAACACCTAGGATTCAATTCGATATAAAGAAATCTTGAAATTCAGTCATATAGTTACTGCAAATACAACTAATGCTGCTAGCGTAGCAGCTTTTTTATAAAATACTTTTGGTTTAAAACTAGAAATGTATCAGTGAACTTATTTTTTTTTATTTTAACTACGATGGTTGTCCACCCAAAACGAGTGTTGGTTAAAGTAAATTAAAAATGAGTTAACAAAATCATCTCACGTTTTATATTGTTAAAAGTGTTCTATTTGAATCATTACTTCTCGCGTAAACCACAAACAATAGCTAAAATATTAGGAAAGCTTTCGAAACGCCGTGTCAAAGAATTTTTTTATATATTTAGCGTTTTAAACCGTTAAGAGTGTTTCGTCAAATGTACTCGCGTAAACTAGAGATACATAGAAATGAAAAATTGTTTCCGTAAATTCTTACTTCTGAACTGAAAAGTGTCAACTTAAGACTTGCTACAATAATGTAGTTGCCATGACAACCGCAAAAATAAATCATAACTATACCTATCGTACTACTTAATGTTCGTCATAAGTCCGCCATTTTGTTTGTACTAGAGATTTATTCGCTTGGACAATGAAGGTAGCCGTACTCCAGACCCAGGCTTACGGCAACAAAGACGAAATACAGTAGGAACATCGTGAAGCCGAGACCCCTGTTCATTTTCCACCTGGAAAAAAATAAGTGTTGATTATTGGTATAAAGTGCTACTTTTATTAAATTTACAATTTTATCTTTGTGCCTTTTACAACAAAGTTGTAATTGTAACTGTCTATTTTGTTTTTCAATCTATTAATTGGAAGTTTTTTTATTATTAATTTAGGATTATTTATGTATTTAATAATTATCCACTAACTGCCTTGGCTTTTATCATATACAGTATTTTGACTAGATTTGATTAGTTGGTTAATTATTAAAATTGAATAAATTCAAAGGACATATTGTCGAGGGCATTTTTTTAGTTAATTAAGAAACGAAACGGAATCTCTCAAAGTTAAATAATTGTCATTCTCAAGTTCCCTTATTTCTTCGCTCCTATTTCTCCAGATAGTCCCTATTTATAGCCTTTCGCCTTTAGCATATCTTTTTCGTTAAATGGTCCAACTTAAAAAAACTGTTTTAATTAGAGCCAGTAGTTCTTGATATTAGCGTGTTCAAAGAAACAAACTTTTCCGCTTCGTAAAATATTAGCAATGCATGATACAATATTAGTCACTTGTGTATTTTTTCAGTAATACCTATATTTATAATATTGAATTATTTTTCCTTTTTTCTATCTGTATCCGCACATCTCTGAAAGTATTCTATAGATGGTTAAGGAACATATAAATGAAAAGATTTAGTTTGATGGACAATTAAGAGACAGAGTAGAAAGAAAACTTAATTGATAGAGCAAAGGCCAACCAAGTTGTTGGTCGGGGATTCTATTCCCGCCAGAGTCGTAATAGTTACGCTGTAAAACTGTGGACTCCGTGCCCTTGCAACATCAAGAGTCTTGTCTTAAAGAATTACCTGAAGCAGGCGATACTGAGGATCACGAAAAGCAACATCGCGAAAAGCAGCACGATGCTGCAGACCATGCCCTTGGAGTTGACCTGGACTGGCTCCCCGTTGATCAGCCCGTAAAGCAGCCATGGCAGCGGCAACCTGGAATTAATAGTTACCACATATTTTAAATAAATTTTGAGATAGTCGCTCGTCCTGGAGCCACGTGGTGTGTTTTCTCGTGAAACCAACGCCTATGCAAGAAGATTCTCAACAGTAGAAGAACAACGTTTCCTGCTGAAACAATATACATATGTGAAATTCTTAATAAAGTTATATATTTTTTGCAGAGGGTATTAAATAGTTACTGTCTTTAATTACGCAAGAAGCACACATTTAAATAAATCCCTTATAACGGTTTAAGTCACGAAATATATTATTTAAACTTATAAGTTTCGGTCACTCTAACAATAATACAAAACACAGTCGCTTTTTCTGTCCCTATGTACGCCTAAATCTTTAAAACTACGCAACAGATTTTGATACGGTTTTTGTTACATGATAGATTCGAGATGAAGGTTTTGCATATACGATGTTCACAGTTTTTCTATAGTGTCTTTAGTATTAGAATTGCCAGGGCGGGTTGCTGATTAGCTATATAATGTTATATGTGGCGTATATATTATAAAACTATAATTTAGACCTGATTTACAATACTTGAACTAAAGTAAATAACTATATAGTTAGTATATATAGTTCTATTCGATCAAACAAACTTCGTTTTATAACACGACCGAAAATATTGATTTCAGCGATAACCTAATGAAGATTAATTCATATATTTGTTTAAAATTGGGAAAAATTACCGACCCGATCACGCGATCTTGTGGCATTTTCTTGACCCCACATTTGGGCCAAGGCTTTTGAATTGCGTAGATGAATATCAGAAGGCTGTATTAGGGATCATTTACGACTATCGCTAAGGTCACGCTACGGTGTGTTGCTTTGAACTTTCGGGTCCCAGATTCTGCTACACTAGCGTCTCGATCGATGTTGCGTTGTGGTATTCTACTACTTAGTCGCATTGGCAAAATTATGACAGAGGCAGATCTTGAATACGTTTTGACAGTCTACAAAAATTACTGAATGTTAAAAGTACTTAAAAGTTCCGCATTCTCATATGTCAGTCATTTGCCAATGTCAATGTTAAAAACCCTCCGCTCTGTATGTGTATTTTTTTTTTTCGATTAACCCTTAATTCGCACTTGTTAAAAAAACTAATATTATTAAATAAGTGTTAAATAAAACCTTAGTTTTAACAATATTAACCAGTTTTATTTTAACACTGTATGCTATGCTCTACCAACGTGTCAATTAAATAAGTTTAAATAGATTTAAAACGTGATGTATATTAGTTAAGCTTATAATACTTGAAAATTATTTTAATTAAAGCTCAACATTTGGGATGGTTTGTAGCAGCCGCGGTCATGGGGAGACTAAAATAATTTCCAAAGTTTAACTAATATAGATCACGTTTTAAACCATGTTTAAGTGTTTTTTTTAACGTGTACTACTCGCGTAAATTTAATTAAGTATTCAATGTTACAAATGTTTTATTTAAATATTCAATTGAGTAATATCGTTCATACTGTCCTTTCGCTATATTTAGATAATATATTTTTTTTATAAAATACTATTTGTTACAATTATCTACTGGTCTGTAATTACTGTAAAAACTGGCTGTTGATTACCAGAATCAGACCTCTGCTTGGTAAACTAAACGCATTATTTAAATATGAAATATTCTTTATCTAATAGGGTGACAGGTTTGACAATTGACTGTCAAGTTTGATAATTGTACATAGCCGTTACTAAATGTAAATCGAAATTCTACTCTGCAAAATTATATATATATATATATATACATACATATATATATATATATATATATATATATATATATATATATATACACGATGATACATTTACACATGATTCTTTGTTTAAGAGAAAAACGATAATACTTGTAGAAGCCGTAAGATGGTAGTAACCAAATTGACAGACAGAACTGTAAGCCCACATTTTTTTTATTATAGAGGAAGACAGACAAACATGATTTCACCTGTTGATGGGCGAAATACCCCAGCCTAGACATAATCCAACATTTTTCAGAAAAAAAAAATTGATTAGAAATATTAGACCCGCTGAGAATCGATCCCACGAGCTGTTTTTTATTAGCATATTATATATTACTAACATTAGACCAACGAACCCGCCATTCCATTTGTTCCAGAACTCGATATCGCAAGAGTACATACAATTTATAACATACATCAATAGGAATGAATAGACATTTTTCTGCCCCACTTTCCCTTGATTTATATCGAACAAAAGGAGCTTTTAGGATCGCATAGTCCTGCGACGTTCAAAAGCAACAATGAGTGACATCAAAGATTTTATTCGACGTGCGTGAGTCGTTCGTATTTCTTCGACATATCTGCAGATCAATCTGATATTTTATGTTTAACTAGCTGTGCTATTATTTATGCCCTATTTATAAATGTTAGCTGTTACGTCCCGTCGTTCTTGCAGGTTCATTTGTTTTACATCGTTTAAAGAGGAATCATTCATTTGTATATATTTTTGGATATCTTCAACCGCTTTCACAGTGCACGCACTGTTTCCCCCTTTTTCCACATTTGCCACTGTTTTTCGCTTCTATTAGCCGAAGCGTGATATTTTAGCCTAAAGCCTTTCTTGATAGATGCTTTAACTAAAAAAAAATGCAAAAAGAAATTTTCGATTCGAACCAGCAGCGAAGCCAGGTTAGCGCATTCAAAAAACAAACAACTACTTTAGCTATAATATTAGTACAGATTACGGTATCTAAACGGGCTTTGTCAATGATCTTTCGAGGTCCCTTGATTTTGGATCCAAACCGTACATATACCAGACATACTACGCGCCGTTCCTTTTTTTTTGTCATATTATTTTCTACTGTCTATAGTTTACGCGAGTAGTACACATTTAAATAAAACACTTTAACGGTTTAAAACGCGATATATTAGTTAAACTTATTTGAAAATGATTTTTAACTTCGGCCCGACATTTCGGATGCTTTGCAGCAGCCGTGGTCACGGGGGGGTCACATATCGCGGTTTACACCGTTAAAGTGTTTTATTTTAAAATTATTTTCTACCAAAAGGGAAGACATGGGACCCTGTTACTTAAACAGTGTCTGTCTGCACTAGACTGTGTCATGCATGAAGGTGAAAATTCGGTTCAAACCCAGGACCTCTCACGCTTAACGCAATGGTTTAATGGTGGGAGTATCTAAATTCCACCCTGGTAAAAAAGCCGTGAAGCTAATCGCGATTCGGTTTCAGTCTGTGAGTTTTGGAATATCCAAATCGAAAATAGGCCGCCAGAGCATCTTGTTTAGATTATTTCGGTTGGCGTATATCACCTACTATCAAATGAACTCCGTCTGTGTCTGTCCTACTCTATCATTAAAAAAGCTTGACAATGTATTGAACCATTTAGTTACAGAGGCGGTATTAAAACTAATTATACTAATATTAGTACAAACACTGCGCTTATCGTTGCATTGCCTCAATGTGGTGGTGTGGGAGCTTTCGAACATTTATCTAAATCGCTTTTCAATAGAGATGCCTGCTGTTTGCAGATTAAATAAGCCGTTGCGAATATTAAATCAAATTGAGGCTTATCAAATGTTGACTGACTTAACTACGTCATTTTCATAAAATAATTCAATTCCATTCCATGAAAGTTGTCTTTGGTTTACACGAGTTGCATTACAATAAAACACTTAACGGTTTAATGCGCGCAATATTTTACTTATTTTTAACTACGGCCCGACGTTTCGGATGCCTCACAGAAACGTTTTAAAACGCAAAATATATTACTTATTTTTATTACGATGTTATTTAAATAAGTTCTATCTTATACTGTGTAAGAAATCCGGTTTTTATTGCTATTTTAGTTTTTTTACAGGTAAGTAGTTGATCTATAGGGACGTGTTCGGCTGAAACAATTTATCCCCCGGGTTTCAAACCAAGAACTATTGGCATTTAACACAGTAGGAGATAACTACTGGGGTTCTCCAACTGATCGGCCGGCCTGATTGTAAAAGAGAAGAGAAAATTCGGTTAGGTTAGGTCAAAAATATTTAAACATCTAAAAATGCTATTCTTTCGTGATAGCGAAAATTCGAGAACCATAAATACTGTTTGTAGTTTACGCGAGTAGTACACATTAAAAAAATACGGTTTAAAACGCGATATATTATAGTATCCCGGCCGTAGTTAAAATAATTTTAACAAATATATTCTTCTCTTCTAATGCCTCTCCATTACTGAAGGTTGGCTGTTAGCTTTTGAAAGGGGCACGTGTCCTTTTCAAGATATAGCAATACCGAGACCGTCTCTATCCCCATCCACTCCCTCAAGTTACGCAGCCATGACTTCTTCCTCATCACAACACGTCTTCTGTCCTGGATTTCCCCATCACTACTACTATGTACCGCGTTTTAAACTAATATACCCCCCAGTGACCACGGTACAGTGGTACAAGCATCCAAAACGTCGGGCCGTGGTTAAAAATAATTTTCAAATAAGTTCAATCAATATATATCGCTTTTTAAACCGTTAAAGTTTTTTATTTAAATGTGTACTACTCGCGTAAATTACAGACAGTGTTTAATATATATATCGCGTTTACATTAAAGTGAGCATTTTTAATCACACAGCCGAACAGCTGGAAACAAGTAGCTTCGTTTATCAGAAATATTAATTCCATAGTATTAAATGTAAGCAAGACAAGACTAAATAAACGCGATGGTCATCGTCGGAATGAAGAAATTATTTGAACCGAGAGCCGTAGTGGCCTTAAGCTTCTGGAACCGTGCCAAAGGTTATATAAAAATACACTGAGAGTATTATAATTGTCTTTCCTTTAAAAGATTCATATTTCTTATTTAGTGCACTATATATTTGTTTTAGAAGGAATTTATGTTGTAAAATTTCTTTTATCTCTGGCTTGATTTTTTTATTTGCATTTTGGAAATTTTTATTTCACTTTTTTATGATAGAGGTAGAAAAAGTTCACTTGATGGTATATGGTACCCCAACTATACAACATCTAACCAAGTTGCACTTTCGATATTCTGAAATTCGGAAATCTACAGACTGTAGCCGAGACGCGTTTAAACTTGACGGCTTTTTCACTTGTGGGCGGTGAGTAACCCTAGCAGTCGGGGTTGAACCCACGACCCGTTGATTACTGCTACAATTATACCAATGAGCCCGATCAACTTCTGGTGATGGTGGAGGCTTAAGTTAATTATATTCCGTTCATAAATTTATGTGCATATATAAGTTTAAACGCTACGTTTCGATGTTTCGGATGCTTTTCATGGTCACGGCGGGACCATGCTTGCTCTAAAGCCGTTGGGCCGTGGTTAAATAAATATTTAACTAGTTAACTGATACATATCGCGTTTTAAACCGTCAAATGTGTTTTATTTAAAATTGTACCACTCGCGTACAATACAGAAAATACTTTAAATTCTATATAGGGCTTTCGAGCTGTTCGGTCGTCGCGATCGCGAGATTGTTGTGAAATAACAATGTTGTCGGACATGACGAAGTAAGCACTTCAACATTGGAAAGACGAAAAGTCGTGTCAAAAACGGAATTTTCTCATATTAAGAGGCTAGAAAAGTGAGTGGCGAGAGTTTTCTAATCTTCGCATGAGCAGCCTCGCCAAAGAGTCGATTCGAAAGAGCTGAGTGTACAAATGTCAAGGGGATGTGATCGAGAGTCGGTTCAAGGTTTCCCTTTGTATCATATACATGCTGTTAGGTTTCGCGCCAAAGGGCAAGTGTTGATAGATTAGTGAAGGGTAGTTTTATAAGTCACTAGCTGACCTGGCTAACGTTATTTTGCTATTTGAAGTACTAGCTGGTGCCCGCGACTTCATCTACGCAGGATTGGTATTTGGAGTAGCTTATATTAGCGTTGCTTAGAAAATAACTAGCATTATGACATAAATATGTGTAAACTAACGTTTATGGCATCTCACGCCAGAATAGCTCGCAGAAAGGTAGGTTTTTTCCTAGTTACTTGACACACAATGTCATATTTTGGACAGCTCACACACTATCTTTATAAATTGTAGCCTATGTGTTATTCTGATGTATAAGCTATGTTATTGGAAAGTTTAATTGAAATCCATTCAGTAGTTTTTGCGTGAAAGAGTAACAAACATCCATCCACACATACAAACTTTCACGTTTATAATATTACTAGGATTTCGACCAAAATTTGATAACAAAAAAAACACAAAAGCTGTTCTTGTGGTTATCAAAACATGTACATATACTATCATGGAAATTTTTTAAGATCGTTTAAAGAGGAACCATTCTGTCATATTATTGTTTGGGTATCTTGAACTGTTTTCGCACGCAGCTCAATTGGTTAGAGCCACAGCACGGAACGCTGAGGATGCCGGTTCAAATCCTGCCCGAGTTTATTCTGTATTGAGTATCAGCATTTCACTCGAGCAAAGCCGGGGTGGGTCGCTAGTTTTATGGTAAAATGCACGTTTTTAATATGTAGATTAGAACTGGACAAATTTAAAAATCATTGTGCTATGCTGGTTCATTAAATGTATTTACAACGAAATATGTTTACCCACAGCAATACATTATGACCATTACCGCAGACCTGCTGTTTCCAGATAAACTGCCTCATAAATCGCCACACGTGCCCAAGATCCATATGATATGGGAATATAAACCTTATTGCATTCGAATTAAGTAATAATTTAAATTATTTTTAACGCAACAGTTTGTTAAGTTATTATATAACTGAAAATAAAAACGTATACGCTTTGCCGTCTATAAATGTAGTTCACGTGAGTACACTAAGTAAACATTTTAAACAGTTTAAAACGCGAAATATATAAGTTAAATCCTTTTAAATAAAACACTTTAACGGTTTAAAATGCGATAAATTTTAGTTAAACTTATTTGTTAGCTAAAATATATCGCGTTTTAAACTGTTAAAGTGTTTTATTTAAATTTCTACTCGAGTAATGAGTTTTTCTATTATTTTAACTACGGCCTGACTTTTCAAATGCTTTGTAAGAGCTGTGTGGTCAGGGGGGAGAGCAATTGAAGATTATTTAATGTCAAAGTCAAATCTGCTACACTAGCGCCACCTGTTTTGTCATAGTTGCTATTTAGAAAAACTGGTTGGTTTTTATGTTTTATTCAGAACTAGACTAGGAAATTAATAAAATATCGTCTCGTTTTAGTCTATACTGAAAAAAAAAAAAAAAAGCTATACGAGATCTGTGCCCAACAGTGGGCCAATAATACGAAACGAATAAAAATCAAAAGCACTCATATCTAGGCAAACTCCCTTGCGACTGCACTTTTATTTTTGTCTGTAGTCTGTACAATATCCTCTGTGGAGTTGCATCGCGATCAATATTGCAGTTTCAAGGCATAGACTCTATTCGCTTGCAATAAGGTCGAAATTCCAAGCGACATCACAAAATACCTTGAGAAGATATAAAGAAAATTCTACTCTCGGCCTCTTTAATTAGAAGCGATTTTTCATTGAAATGAAAGGAGGCAGTCGCGTACAAGATTGTTTAAATTCCTTTTAGCTATGTTGTGTACAAGAGTTTTACAAAGTTGGAATTAATCCGTAGTAAATCGGATTTGGCGGAATGATGTCCGAGCTTTTTTTTGAGCTTCAAAAGCTAGACGCGGTTGACAGGAGACATAATTTAAGTCTATATAAAATTGCTTTATTAATATATACTCGTAGTTATTACATGATATTAATATTTAATATTATTAGATAGATTTTGAAAGCTAGTGAAATCCCTCTTTAAAAAAAAATAGTTTCAACCCATTAACTAATAGAATAAGTGCTCCAGTGACGTTTAAAAACATTCAACTAACATTTATCCAACGTTTCAAAAAAAAACCCTTCAGACTTGACTGGAAATCTGGATATTAGACGAATGGTAGTAACTTCGAAATTCCATCTCAATACCGTATCACCGTCAGAAAAATAAAGCTAAGTTAAATCGCATTTCGATAGCACTCTGTAGATTTCCAAATATCCAAAAGCAAAATAGGTCTACGGCGTATCTAGTTTTGATGATGAAACTTTCAATTCAAAAATTATCGTTTGCTAAAACTAAATTAACTCTACTTACCCTACAGTAACATCGAATATATTGCTCCCGACCGAGCTGGACACAGCCATATCCCCGAAGCCCTTCCTGGCCACGATGACCGACGTGATCAGATCCGGAACAGAGGTCCCCGCAGCCAGGAGCGTCAGCCCCATCACTTCAGGGGGGGACGTACGCTGTCGCCCCCCGCTACATTCGCCCACCATACCATGAGGTAGGAGAAGAACGCTATCCACACTATTGACCCTATAAATGTTATAGGGAATAGGTTTTTCCCTGGAACAAGGAATAGATCTTTTAATATATACTCATTTATAAAGCTGATGAGTTTGTTTGTTTGAACGCGCTAATCCCAGGAACTACTGGTTCAAAATTATTTTTGTGTTGGTTAGAGCATTTATCGAGGAAGGCTATAACATCATGTTGTGACTAACAGGATCGTATAAATAGTAGTAAACATGAAATAAATACGAGGAAATTATTCATCTCTGTGTGTTTCCGATGGAACCATTTTCGCAGCGTACGCACGTAAATATGTATATTTTATACATATATATACGAAATATGTATAAAATAATGACCAATCTCTCTCTTTAAATGATCTAAAAAAATGTCCGCGAAACTATATGTCTATCTTTTAAGATTAACTTGAAAGAACGATGTAACCCCGATGTGAGGGTCAGCTTTGTAAAGATGAAGTTTGCAAAAACAAATTCGGATGCTCAAACAATTATTATATGCGGATAAAATCGCTGGTACAGCTAGTGTGTAATGAAATTTCATTGACCACCTCTGAAGTCAGATGGTGCCTTTTTTGTACTGATGGTGTGAATGCCCAATGCACGCCCACGTCGGGCAATAGTGACATGGCGAGTATGGTATATCAACAACCTCCTCGGAAATAATAGCCTACCAGAGCCACTAAACACACCACCAGCCCGCTACGGTATTTTCGAGGGAGCCCTGAGTTAGATGGTAGTAAACAAATTGTTTCTCTCGGGCAGGGCGAAACAGTCTGATTTAATACTTGCATGTAAAAGAATTGGTCGGTGAAACGGATACAAAAATGTCCCCCACGGGGAAAAGGGGTTTCATTTAAAAATATCAATAATAAAACTCCAGGTATATGAGTTTGATACTGTTAGTTAAATACTGTCTGTAGTTTATGCGAGTAGTACACATTTAAATACGATATGTTTTCGTTAAACTTATTTGAAAATTATTTTAACTATAAGCTGACGTTTCGGATGCTTTGCCGCAGCGGGGAGATTTTAGTTTAACTAATATATATCGTGTTTTAAACCGTTTAAGTGTTTTATTTAAACTATTACAGTTATTGTTATTCAGTCAATTTCTGTACAGTAAAACGAAAGTTATACTTACGGTGGTTAAGTTAGTATACAATTATTTAATTAGTAATTAAAAATAATAATAAAAAATAGTTTTCTTGTATTACATAGGTGGTAGGAATATCGGAATTCCGCCCAGGTCATGAACCACTGTCACAGATTAACAATTCGTCAAGTTTAATCGTGTTTCGGTTTTGAATTAATGGATTTCCGAATATCCAAAGCCAAAATTGATTGTTTGATGTTTTATGGCTGGGGTACTTTATCTACCATCAAATGAACTCCACTCTAGTAAGTTCTACGATATCTCCATCCAGATTTTTTAGCTAACCCGAATATCATTTCTGTCAGATATAGGGAAAACAAACAGCTTGAGAGTCCCTGCAAGCTGTAAACACCAATTTCCAGCTCGTAATGGGTGCTTGTCACTGCCTAATCGCCTTTGAATGCTCCAATGCTAATTGCGTTAGACTGTGGACTGATCGAATCTCAGATATAGCTGTGTTATGGATGGCATTTCTAAGATAACATATTAATATTATATCTACATATAACATACTAGCTGTGCCACCGACTTCGTCCGCGTAGAATAGTTACTTTGCTCTCGTCGTTCTTCCAAATTAATCTTAAAGCATAGACATATTTTGTCGCAGATGTTCATATGAATTTTTATACATATATATCTTGATTTTGTAGCGAACGCAATCGAAACCCTCAAAGATGGATAATGTTCCCCATTTTTCCACATTCTCTACTGTGTCTGTGTTTTTTAATCTTAAACCTTTCTGGATAAATGCTCTAACGAACACAAAATTTTTCAAAAGAGTTTTTTTTATTTAAACCAGTAGTTTCTGAGATTGGCGAGTTCAAACAAACAAACTCTTCAGCTTTATAATAACTAATATTATAAGAAGAATATATATGTAATTTAATAACTGCTGCAAATAAGATACTAATATAGACCCGAAACAGATGGCGCTAGCGTAGTAGTTTTTACTTTGATATTTGGGACACCGTCTACCTTCAGTCTCCCCGTAAATGGGCTACTGCAAAGCATCGGAAACATCGCGGCATAGTTTCAATAAATTGTAAATAAGTTAACTAATACATTACGCGTTTTAAGTTAAAAGTGTTTTATTTAGATATTAGAGCTTTAAGTAACCTATTTTAAGCGTACTATAAATAATGAATAGTATTTATAACTTACCTCTCGGAGTCCTGGTGTCCGGGAGGGTTATCCATAATGGGAAGACAATTGGCGCGACCAACACGTACGTCAGTCGTTTTCGGAAACCAGATGGCCACGACATGTCCAATGGCGTCGTGTCATCTTCTAAGTCTCCAATCTGCAATTAAGATGTTTATCGGTAAAGTCATTATCTTTTTCGCTTCCTCATAGAAAAGTTCTAGTATAAACAATAAGTACCCAAGTAAGAGTCACAAACGAGTACAAATAGTAGAAACAACACCACAGACTATGGACGTAACGCGTTACGCAACAGTTTACAGTCTATCAAAAAGTGATTTCAACAAAAGTTTAGTTGTAAAGTAAAAAAAAGTTGAGTTTAATTGTAGCGCCAACAGAAATATGTTATCTGTGAACATTTTAGATGTCGGTTTTATATTAGGAAAAGAAGAACCAAAAATTACAAATGAATAATTATGGAAATCTTTTTAAATTATTAAACGGTGTATAATTTATATAATAACGAATACATTAATAATAGAAATTTTTTTAAAAAAAAAAAAAAAACGCCGTTTTTTTTTATTATAGATATTAAATTTACTAAAGAATGTTGAAGCATAAGATTAATTTTAAATATCTAGAACTTGAAGATGGATTTCAAAAATAAAATATCAAAAATAGACATATTTATTATTTAATCCCGAAATTATCTTGGCTGAGACATCATGTAAAAAATGTCTTTAATACTCATATGAAGTGACGTAATTTTCGCAAAACTGAGATATATGAATAATCTCGACGATAATTTGGAGACATTCAAAGCTAAGGCCTTGCTCTACTCTTGCCAAGAGTTTCAACTGCAAAGATAACTTGAACTAAACTTGGCTGTTTGCTATTTATCAACGATATAATCTTAGATGATATCCATGTCAAGTTTGACAGTCTTGTTGGTAAAGCGGTAGTGATCAACAGTCGTGGATTCGATCCTCATCAGGTCCAACGTGTTTCTTATCAATTTATAATTTTTGGAATCATTGGACGGTTGGACTTCGTCTGGAAATGTGGATGATAAATGGGTGGTAGGAATGTCGAAATTCCGCCCGGGTCACGAATCACCACAAGTCAGATAACCAGCCGAAATAGGCCGACAGCGCATTTAGTTTGGCTTTCACGTGGCTGCGGTATTTCACCTTCCATCAAGCAAACCCAGCAAGTTCATTGTTTGTAACGATTTCATCGGTCCGAAACGTCGTAGATAAAAATAAACTAATAATTTTGCGTTTAAAAACGGTTTTATTCTTTGTTTACTTACGTAAACTTTTACAAGTTTTAAAACTACGCTGTATAAAATACTGTCTTAGACATTCACATTTAAATAAAACACTTTAAGGTTTAAAACGCGATATATTAGTTAAACTTATTTGAAAATGATTTTTAACTTCGGCCCGACGTTTCGGATGCTTTGCAGCAGCCTGGTCCCCGTCTCCCCTCCTCCTCCGTGGTGTCTCCCCGTGACCACGGCTGCTGTTAAAAATCATTTCTAAATAAGTTTTAATGTCGCGTTTTAAACCGTTAGTGTTTTATTTAAATACGCTGTATAATTTAAAAATAACAGCGCCCTGTATAATACTGAACTATACCGTATGATATATTGTTTTTAATTAGCAATTTTGATTTCCGGATCGATTACGATTATTAAAAAATGAAAAATTTTAAATTGTTTATGTTAATTATTACACTGTCTTATGCCTTATAACATTTTGCCCGATCCGGGATTCAAACGCGGACGAACTTTACGATGAGTCGAGTGAATTTCACCAACGATTCGGTCCTCTAATCTTTTCTACAACTGTGGTGTATTTTCTTTTAGTCATTAAGTTCTTACTAAGTATTCAGGTAATTAAATTTTATTGACTTGTAAGTTACATTGTATTACAATGAACGTTAACAAAGAAGTCATTATAAAGAGACAAAGAAGCTTTATATCTCTATTCATGTACATGAGGAAAGAAAATAGAGATAAAGTAGATGAACGAACACAATATGGGAATTATCCTGGAAACAAAGATTTTTTTATCACAGAGAAGATCAGACAAGGTTGATTGTAAGATTCCCTATCGACCTATATTTTGCTTTGGACATTCGAAAAGTTAATTGTAAAAGTTCGGGGACTTTACTTAAAAACTAGGCGCAGGCAAAATATAGTTTTGTGTTATGACAGCTTTGGCGGTCTTTTTCGTACACCGTTCTACATATGAAGAACAAGTCAAATATATTTTCATAATATTTACTAGTTCTATTATTAAAATTGGAGAATACTGTTTATATTAAAATAAAAAGTCGAAAATTTCTAACAAAATCATGTTTATACTCTAAGTGGGGCATGGGGCAGACAAATGTATGTCTGTTTTATCGATTGATTTTACTTAAAACTAAGTAGTTGATCAGAAAGTAACGAACATTCTTTTTTTAGAGACATGTATCCGGGACTTTAAAAAATTTAAGTAAAATAAGCGACATTAATAATGGAATTGAAGAAGCCAGCATATTTATTATATTTCTTTTTCATCGTGATTGTGATATGAAGTAAATTTATAAAATTACCTCTTCTATAGCATCTAACTGTACATCCGCCAGCCCACCGTTTGGTAGATCCAGTGGCGTTTCTTTTGCCTGCGCTGTTGCTGCTGCATTTTTTGCAGCCGCTGCTCCCGCGCCGCCTGCTGTTGGCCTCGTAGCTTCGAGTAGCACTTTGAGCGATGCTATCGCGTGTAGCTGTGTTGCTTTCTCGTCTACTTTTCCTGAATGAATCAATAATATTAAAGCAGTGTTTACGCGATATTAGCTAATCTAAATTAATGAGTTTTATTTATATGACGGAATAGGACAGTCAAGCACGGTGTTCAAGTATCTAAACGAAATGCGCCTGTTGACCTATTGTGAGTTTGGATATTCGGAAAACAACAGACTGAAACCGAAACGCGATTAAACTTTACGGCTTTTTCGTGACCCGGATGGAATTTTGACATTCTTACCACCCATTTAATATCCAGAAGTCCAATATGTAAATTGATAAAAAACATATTGAACCCGGTGGGGATCTAACCACGACCCATTGATTGTTGATCTATACATTGCAACCATTACACCAGCGAACCCGTCTATCGTCATTATTAATACACTAAATGAATGCCCGAAAGACGTTGTGAGTCAGCCATTTTTAAGACTAACAGAGAAATATAATTCTTTGAAAACATTAATATTTTTCACATGTTATTGCACATGAAGGCACTATAAATTTTAAAAAAAAAAATATTTTTAAAAAATTTTTTTTTCCCGGCGGGGGGCCGGCCCCCCCCCCCCCCCCCCCCCCGCCGGGGGGTTTCCCCCCCCCCCCCCCCCCCCCCCCCCCCCCCCCCCCTTTTTTTTTTTTTTTTTTTTTTTTTTTTTTTTTTTTTTTTTT